GCACGGAGGCTATGGGTAAATAATAGCACAATGGANNNNTATTGTAATAAAAATCAAGAATGTCAAGATTTTGAACTGAATGAATCATGCAAACTTAATTCGAACATCAATAATCAAGGACTGCATAGCGGGAAATGCAGACCATCTTGGCATTTGGCCTCAAAATTGAAACCATGAGTGAATGTGTAAATAATCTGTGTACCATGAGTGAACATGCAATGATACAGTATATGCATAACATGTTAATGAAGCACTTCTGTTGGGAGGAAGTTGAATTTGAAGATTGGAAATAATAAGTAATGGATGAATTTAAGAAAGAACAGTTTGAAACTTTACTTTTATTTTATTCTTTTTCAAATTGCCAATGTCAATTACAATTAAAAATTATGAATAATTAAGTTAATACAGTTAAACTTGCCTAAGGCAAATAATCTCTAAGTCGACCTTATTTACATGCCAAATTGCTGTTTTTTTTCTTCTCTGATTAACGATCTGTAAGTTAAATTCGAACAGTATTTGGATGCCATTTTGGATTTGACTTACGCAAGTTCAACTTTATCATGAACTAAAATTGCATAGTAAAATCATAGATCTTAATATTAAAATTAAGCAATTATTCTTCAGTAAAATCAAGCAGCAGAATTACTATAGAAACTGCCAATCACTATTTTATCCAACTCAAGAAAAAATTCTAGATATTTGAAGCCCCATTTTAACATTCAATAATAATACAAATACTAATTGATTGATAGATTGAATAACTGATTGATAGGATCATTATAGACTGATTGATTAAATGACAGATGGATTGCTTGATCAAATGATTGAGTGAACGATGTATGGTTGATTAAGTGGTTGATTGATAGATGGATCGATATATTGACATATTAATGGATTGAATGATGGATTATTAATTGATCATTGAATGATATATTAGATGATTGATCACTGGATTGATTGACTGATCATTTGATTGATTTATTGGAGGATTGATTGATTTATGGGATGATTGAATGATATATTAGATGATTGATCACTGGATTGATTTATTGGATGATTTAGTGATCATTGGATAGATTGATTTATTGGTGATTGATAATTGGATTGATTGATTTATTGGATGGACAGACTGATTATTGTTGTACAGTTATATTTGCCTAAGTCGACTGTGCCTAAGTCGATCATACTTTACATGTCAAATTGTTGTGTTTACCATTAATTAAAAATCTGTGGTCAAATTTCATCTAAGTCGAATAATATTTCAAATGCATTTTGAATTTGACTTTAGGCAAGTTTAACTGCTTTGATGACTTGCTGGATTCATCTATTAAATGATGGGTACAAGATATATCTGCGAGATATAATTCACACACAATATAATATTACAACATTTTAAGAACAATTCAACAATGCCATGTTAATTACAAATTTAATAAAACTTACAAAAATAAGTCACCATCTCTTGCTGGAATGTAGATGTTATACTGTTGGACATTTTTTTTCCCATGAACAAAGGATTTTTTGGGTTCCCAGTAAACCAAGTTAATTATATTTAATATAATTATGATAACCTGTAATAAATCTTTTATTATTATATTTCTGTACATAATCACTCGCCCACACCTAACTTGTCTTAAAAGTCGGAAGCCACTCTTGAACTCTTTTAAATAACTTAATTAAATAAATAAAAGTGATAAAGCAAGATATGTTTCACACACATGAATTTAACTACAATGTTGTTAGGGCAAAAAAATGATACAGATTTTCAGTCTACCCAAGATCAATCATGGAACTCTACCACCTAGCAGTAAATCAGCAACAGATTTGGTTACTTAAAAGTGGAAATCAGTGGCAGAGTTTATAAGATTAATGATGGACTTTACATTGATAGGAACTAGAGGCTATCTGTACAGTTACATACAAGAAACATTATATATGAGAAAAATTACCCTGTATATTTTCTTTTAATACTAAAATGTTTTTTATCACTACACTTCCCTCTTCTTATCTTGTGTAACATGCTGTCAGTTTGGCAATCCCTTGTTGACATCACAAACACAGAATTCCAATCGAACTAATTTGTCCCCACATGGATAAAATTTATTATAGCGAGTTACTTGACTGAGCTGTCAAAAACAAATTAAAAATTATTACAAATAGACAATTAAAATTAATTACAAATAGACCATTACAACTAATCTCTTGTGTTCAGCCATATATTTTTTCCCTATTTGAATACTTTGTACTGTGTATATATATATATTTCAATGATTTTACGGGAAGTTAGAGATTGGGATAGCTCGTTCCAATGGATTATTGTTCTAGGTAAACGGATAAACACTGATCCATGATGCCATGGGGTGCAGCGTTAGCTTGTGATTACTCTAAATTAGGTTGAATTGCATATTTAAATTGCTGTTTGATAAATGTCTTGTTAGAAGACAACTTGATTTGATTTTTTTTGTTTCTTATCCAAATCAGATTTTTGCACAGATCTTAAAAACATTTGGCAAGATTATTTTTTTCAATTTTTCTATTCTTATTGAATACACATATGTAAGAAGCCCAGTCAAACAAATTTCGGCATTAATTAAACAATATTCAATGTTTTTAATCACAATATTACTCAACTTATTGATTGTTTAATTGTCGTCCCTTATCTTACCTGATGAATCTCCCATTTGTTATCAAGGATTACAAGCCACACTGTTTTATACTCCTTTGCTTGGAACAGTATATGGTAGTAGGTTGAACTCTGACCACTGGCATCAACTTCCTCCCTGACTTGTATATTTATAATCTTATCAAAATTAATATCTATACAACTGGTTTCATGTAATGGATTCCATTCCATGCTAGTTCCTTGGTTGGCTTTGAAAAGTGCTTTCTATTTTTCAATTAGAAATAAAAAACAGAAACAGATATTCATGTTAAAATTTGTTTAAAACAATTCAATGCTTTTTGGAATTAATCTATGCAATATTGTAATACGTGTAGTTTTTTGGTCAATCTAACCATGTAACTAATATTATACTACCATTTGATCAATCCTAACCATATGTGAAATTGAATCAAATAAAATTTTATTCAAAAATATCGTCTTTGAAGCTTTTCAGCTAAAATTGCGACTGATAATGATAGAATGGGAATGCAGTATCCTAAGGCATGAATTGATGTACCTACAGTACAGGATAGGGAGGGGCAGTACTTAAAGTACTGCTGTACCACAACTAATGAAATACAAACATCGGTTAAAATAATATCCGAGGCTTTGCACTTACTTTAGAATGTTTTTGATTAATATGATTGATGACAAATTTTACCATCTCAGTATGAAATATTCTCCACTCATTTTTCTCAAGTTTCTGTAAGATAAAAATCATGCATTCTAAATACTTGGTTCCAAGGGGTATTATATATAATTACTATTGTCTTCTAAAACATTAGTCATAACAAAAACAAGACCGAATACTACTGTACCTAAATCCCAACCTAGCCTAAAAACAAAACATCAAAATCTAGTTTAATAGAAACCTGCTGAAAGTCAAAGCATTATGGTAACTACAACATCCCTGAGGACTAGCTTCTCATAATGTTTTAATTTCCATGTAAGAACACAAATTGTACCTTAATTTTCCCACAGGCACAGCTCCATGCCGGCATTCCAGCTTCATTGCAACCTCTTTTCCTGGGAAAAACAGGTGGAGAAAAATGGCATGCTATAATAGGTCAATCGTGACATCATCGTTTTATGTTCAATGTTATATCCTATCCCAAAGCAGGCAGCTATTTGACTATAGAGCAATTATTTTACAGAATATTTCAGGAAACTGAAAATTTGACTCCTTTTAGGAGCCATTCTTTCTTTCATAAAAATATATTCAGAATGTAATTGCTTCATGTTCTATTTTAAAAGTATCAGGTATGTTTTTAACTATTTATGTTCTCATTTAATTGCTTAGCTTCAATACACATTTCTGGTATATTTATTTATATGATAGACTTAATAAAATGAATTGAATTGAAATTTTCCAACAGTGTCTCAAAACTTGACATTATTGCATAATAATGTCTATTATACAAACAATGTATTTTTCTTTGCAAGGTGTAAAAATGTATGATTTAAAAATTCAACTGGGCTAATAGTTTAAAAGCAAGCTTTAATGTAATCACTTGCAGTATGTGCACACAGCTACTTAAACGCACTATCTGTTTCTCGAACTCATCAATAATGAGTTTGTTTTTCTTATGTTTTCAATTTGCTTCATTCATAACCCACATCTTATTCTGTCATCAGAATTGTTTTGAAAAGAATACGGTAGGAAATCATCTCCATGTAAACCATTACCACCATCCTATTTTATAATATGTATTGAATAGAAAATAATACTTTAAAAATATATACAGTATAATCTAAGGTACCTGCTGATTTCTTGTGTAAATACATTAACTGCTTTTTCTCCAACAAATCCAGAAACCTCATCCATGTTTGGGAAATGCATCAGAGATTTCATACTTAAATGTAAATCTCTATGTGTCTATTAAATGCAATATAAAAATTTATTAATTTATGAAGCAAAACTAAGAAAATTCAATTCTATGAGTATGTGGAAACAAAAAGTTATTTTCCTATTTTTGCTTAAAAAAGTAGAAAAGTAACTTTCTGTTTCCAAATACTTATGGAATTACCTGCATCCAAATTCAGTAATTCTATAAATATGTGGAAACAAAAACTTAATTTCCGTCTGAATCTTTTTGGCAAAACTATTTGCTAAATAACAAAAAAAAATTTTTTTTTTTCCGCCCTCCTCTGACAATCTGTAAAAAAATACGTTAGTGAAACAAGGTATAAAAAAAAGTCTCGCCTATCATGATCATATCAGCATAATCATCATTATAGTTATTATCATTATCAACACTACTGTACCGCCACCCACTGACCAACAACATTCTCCACAGTGACCATCTTAAATCTTACCAAGTATCTCTGTTGATTCACAAGGAGATTATATTTAATGTCCAGCCTCATATTTAGTAACCATGATGGCATAATAATTGACAGGAATGGTAGTAGTGACTCGTACGTGCCTCCCAGATTAGACATGTCCTTTGGATATGGCTTTCCATGATCACCAAGTACAAACTGAAATTAAATGACATCTGATATCAATTGCTGGAAAGGGGAAAACAATGTTAAAGAGAGGAAGATAAAATAGGATAAACCCAAAAATCCAGATTTTTGTTTAAATCTAATTCATTAAGTGCGTTTCATATTGTTTATGCAAATATATTTCATTATTACTATTTAATTATTTTACAAGATAAATTTAATTGGTGCCCTGATACATACCTTTGTGATTGGTAATTATTGCTGATACTTATTAACATAAAGAATTACCATCTAAAACAAATCAATGGTTCACATCACTGTCTGTCAATTCATTGTTCTGTTGATTCACTGTTTAATGATTGATCTATTTATTGATCAATATGATTATTGGTTGATCTGTTTATTGGTGAGTCTGTTCATTGGTTGATTAATCTATTTGGTAATTAACTTGTTTATTGATCTCTTTATTAATTGGTTGACTGTTTAATGATTGATTTTCATGTTAATGATATGTCTGTTTCCAATAGATATACTGTATTTATCTGTATTGATTGATTGATTGGTTAACTGATTGTTTATAAAATGACTCGTGTTTACCACCACTAAGTTGTAATTATAACGCAGGGCATTATCTAGAAAGTTTCTCAAATCTTCATCTACTTGATTGATAGACTCAGCTTCAATCCTGAAATAAAACAATATATATCATTTAAATAATTGCAGCAGTAATCATAATGCTTTACTATTATGGCAGTGACAATAATAATATTAACTAAAGGAACAACCAAAACAACAAAAATGATAATAAGGATATGCTATTACTGGTATTATTGTTCTTGCCACAGCCACAGCAGTGACAATGGCGACCATAATTTGATTTTCACCTTTACAATGAAAATACTGGTGATAATATTAATGATAATCAAACTGATGATGGTGATGATAATAATCACATATGCTTGCGGTACACTACACAGATAATTCTGAAAAGAACTGTTGTTTGTTGAGAATGTCTCATGATAATAATCATAATATTAATAACAATAAATAAAAAATAATAGTAATAATAATATTAATACTTAGCAACAGCAATTTAATAATGTATATCATAATGTATATATCAGTATTTCTGACCTATGATGGGCATTGATATCAAGTGCAGCCCATTTGGCTCTGTATGTCTCCTGGAGAAACCCTTGCGTGTAGTTCAAAATGTGCTCATGTAGAAAATGATCCCCATCACAGAAACCAGACAGTACACCTGGTGACACCTACACAGGCAATGCATACAGTTACACTATAATAATCAGATTTATTGCTTTGAAACAAGAATTTAACACTGCTAAGTTCAAGATATAGGTGACCTCATGTTTTGTTTAGTCAAAGAGGTATAACTATATAATTTATAGGATTTTATCCCAGGACCCTGGATTGGAATGGGGCTAATGCTGTCTAATAGGGCCCAACAGACAGTGGCGGCGCCAGAGTCTGAAATCTGGGGTGGGGGGAGGTAAAATTTAAGGGTAAAATGTGCTGCGGGGGCCCTAGGTGGGCGTGGTTCAAAATATCTCGAAAATGGTCCAGGAGGCGAAGCCCCCAAAAAATATGACAATTTAGGGGTTTCAGTGGCTTATTTTATCAATTTTATAGGTGGATTATCTAATAATATGCAGAAAATGCATATCATTTTTTCCGCAATGATTTTTCTTCTCCTGGGGGGGGGGGGGGCAAGAACATTTTTGGGGATCCCCCTTCCTTATGACATGCAATTGATGACAATTGGGTACAAACCTTCTCATTTTCTCTGGCTATCCATCCATGTTCCCGATGAGGTATTGTTGGTGGTCTGTAATGACAGTCCTAAAAATAAAAACAGTGTCTCACATAAAACACAACTACTCTACATAGTAAAAAACAAAATCACAATTTTCATATCTTAAAGCTGGTAAACCAACTTTGATAAAGTTTTTAACTTTATCTCAACTGTGTTTGATTTACTACTGTATATACTATATATATTTAAGAACATGATCTAAAACTCTAAGGAATTGCCAAGTGATTCATGTCTTGCTTATGTTTGCATAAGGGTTTACCATTTGTTAATGTACTTTGTATATTATGCAAACAATTTCAACCTTAGGCTACTGCTTTGTATTTTTTATACCTGGATAAATTATTAAATAAATGTTATTTTACTATCTCAATGTTTTCTTGATGATGAATTAATAAATCATGAAAACATTGACTATTGCAATGGCATGAATATGTGTTTGTATACAATTTGCAGTTTGGTTTAAAGAGAAAAAAGGTAGTATTTTTTATAACCCTATTTATACCTTCATGGCTTATAGATTTACAGTATTAGTATATTACCCGTTCAACTGTAGTCATAGTGTTTTGGGAAAAGCTTTGGATTATAACTGTTAGTTCATGCTGAAACAAATCTTCAAAGAATTTATTGTAAACTCCTCAGCTGTTTTTATTTTTAGTCTACCCCTTTTCATTTTGAAATGATATTCAGGCATATTTTTATGGGTTATTAAATGTTCCAAGTCTTCAGTTTTTATGGTTAAATCAGCTAGTATTGTATTATTATTATTGTAATACAAGATGTAATACACATCCCTGGAGGAACAAGATGCTTGATATATGTTACTCATGTTTGTAACAGAGACATCTTGTTCTTGTCATGCAATGTTATAGGAAATTATTATAGACTGCATGAAAAAAAATTTGTGAGTTTTCAATGTAATTTTGTATTATTGAGATTTCACATGATGCGAAAAAAAACAAACATTGGTTAGACTATATTTTCTATCTATCTGAAGGACTTAAAGAGCATACATAAGAGATGATAAGTATATGGAACACTGTGCAACAGAACTGAGGGATTGATATACTGAGTACCTAGCATTAAATCACCTGCAATGCTATAAATCATTGGATAGCCTGTGTGATATATTATACGGTATAAGTATAGTAGACCATTTGACATGTTTAAGGAGGAAAGATTTATTGTGTATCACATTATCATCCTGGAGTTCCATTTAGTGAAGATGCATAAAACTCAACAAGGAAACTTGACTAACGATACACTACTCATTCAACTTAAAACTGATCAAGAACCTAAGCTCTGGCGACAAATCAATTTTTCTGTATTAAAATATCTATGACTTGCCAATACAAGGGGACAGTGGCAGATAATGGAAGTGGAATGGTGGGGGGGGGGGAAGGGGGAAAGCTTAAGCTGATATACCATTTTCCAAATTTAATACTGTCATAATTATTTTATAGTATTAGATGTGATATTGTAGAGATTTTATTATTTTATTGATCTGTAGTAAAATTTTTTTGATTTGGGTATTATTATTTCTTTTTGAATGGTGGGGGGGGGGGGAAGGGGGAAAGCTTAAGCTGATATACCATTTTCCAAATTTAATACTGTCATAATTATTTTATAGTATTAGATGTGATATTGTAGAGATTTTATTATTTTATTGATCTGTAGTAAAATTTTTTTGATTTGGGTATTATTATTTCTTTTTGACCATATACATCTATGTTGGAACCAGAGTACACATGCATCAAACTACTGTATAATTCCTCTGCCAACATCGCAAGAAATTCACCATCTTGATACAAATCTAAATTTTAATGAATGTTGAACTATGACCTACTGTGGTCAGTACACCTGGAGACAATCCACTGCTCTTTAAATTGTATGCAAATAGGATCAACAGCTCAATGTCCCATTTGGGGAACAAGGCAACTGGAGCAGTCATATCCAACAACACTATACATATACCATTGGCAGGTCTCAAAATTTGGTCCGAATCTTACCAAAGTCCAATTCCTTACCATTGAACTAACTCGCCATTCATGGGCACTCCAAAATATATTAAGAGTACTAAAGTGCTGATTTTAAAGCTAATGCAGACACCCATAGTTTAACATGACCTATTATTGAATACATCTACATATTTCCTTGCTTGCTAATACAATACAATGTAATGCAGAACACACATGATATGTCTCCTAATTTTTTTTATCTGGGAAGGTTTTACAGCTGATGGTGCTATTGTTTGTCCAGAGCTGGGCCCCACATGGTCCTTACTCGAGACATCGTTGTCTTTTCCAGTGCACGGTAGTAGAGCCAACGGCTTATTCTGAGGTGGTTAAGCTACATGAGCCCAGAGTGCCTACATACTGTACGCCTGGGTGGGATGGTGATGTTGTTTCCACATTGGTGGGTGGAGTCCTGTCCTGGACACCTACAGTATACCAATAACGCACATGCATATTGGAACTGTGTTTAGTTTAAGTAGTCAAATATATTTACTACTTGTTGTTCTTCGTTGTAAAGCTCATTAGGGCCTTTCTGTGGAATGCGCTTTAAAGGAATAGACTTATTCTTATTATAATTATAATGGTGAATCGCTGCCCATGTCGACACTGATGCATTATGTGCATTGCTTAGTACACACTCTAGTTTGTTTTATATACAAATCTTGATTCAAATTCCATATACATACGTTGCATTTTGTTTTTGTACCCATCATACCGCTGGTGTTGTCTACACCATAACTCGTAATGTACCCTCGTTTACTCGCATACTGCCAAATCCATTCTTGAATATCGACAGAGTCTCTGAACAGAGAAATATAAACAAGAACAGTTACAGGAAGTAGCATTTTATTATTTTATTAAAATTTCTAGAGTAAATACAGAAATATAATCAACATTCCAAAAGTTTAATCTTCAGAAGGTTAAAAGATCCCACATTGTGATTGGATGTAAAAAGGCAGTGTATTGCATAATTTAATTACTGTACATGCAATTACATTTAACAAGCAAAGATATACTTACAATTTTTTTCTGGCTTTTTCTATATCTTCATTCTCAAATAAGTGACCAGAGAAAAGTGGAGTGAGGTTCTGAATGGTGACTTTGCCAACAGAATTGAATCGGTTAAACAGGAATGATTGAAAGGAATCTTGAGAAAAAAGATATGCAGAACATAATTACTGACAGTACTGTCATTTTGACTTAACAAAAGTCAAAGAATTCTGACATATAATAATATTAATAACATTGCCAATATTTTTATCCCTTGGCAGGGTCTACGTTTGAACATCTTACAAGCAAGCATTCAGTGACAGATGCGTAAGGTAGATCCGAAAGTTCAATTTCTCTTTCTACTAAATTGAAAAATCTTCACCCCTGTGTTCTTGTGCTCAGATTTATTGCCAAGAATACTGAACTATTCAATTAAACATTCAGCAATTTATTTTATGTTATTACCTTTATTTATATGAATTTTATTTAATTTAAGAAAACTTCTTTAAGTAAAAGTATAAATTACTATATAAATATCATAGAGCTATACTGTAGAATAGCTACATTTTGATATTGATAAGATGCTGGTCTTCCAGGGTTTTAAATCCAGGTCAAAAATATTTAATTCTGGTATTAAACGGACCATGAGCTTGTTAAATAGAAATTATAAAAATGAAGAGCTTACTCTCATCTCCCTTAAGACTCCTCAGCAGCTTCATGGTCTTCGGCAGACCACAGGGCCTATGAGCATGTGCTCTGGAGAGTGAATCTAGGGACACAACTAGGATAGACAGTGGTTCCCAGCCCGGCACAGTCATCAGGTGCTTCTTAAGCTTCTTAGATTGTTCCATGTTCAATTTCTTCTTTGGTACGAATTGTGTGTGATAATTATGGTGGTCCCTTTCTCTGAAACTAAAAACAAACAATGGAAAGTCCACTAGAAAAGTTGTTTTAATACATTTCAGAAGAGATACATGAGAATTATGAAGACACATTGGCTAATAAAAGTACCAAGTGATGACTATACCACATGACAAACACAAAAGCAAGCAAAGAACAACAGAATACAGAGGCGGTTAGGAATAGTAGGAGATAAAAACTATACTAAAAATAGATTCACTGTATCATGAACCCCAGATAGCCAAAAAAGAGGCAAACCAAAAATTACCCGGAGGCCTGAGAATAAAATTTATTTGGATTGAAACCAAAGAGGGAAGTTGCAGTAATGGTTGAGGAGAATAAATGTAGAAGAGTTTCAGTATGTCACTTTTAACAGCTAGGAGAAGGAGAATATTTATTTGATAATTCATGTTTGATTTATTTACTTATAAGTAGTTGTCAGGGTGAGCATAATAATAATAATAATAACTAATGAAATCTTTTTTTTTTTTTTTTTTTTTTTTTTACAGCATAAGCAGGTTTACCAAGGAGGTCTTAATCTCTTTATAGGCCTATGCCCTGTATGGCTATTAAAATGAGGGTGGGGAGGTGGGTGCAACAAAATATGAATCTACATAATTAGGCGAGACTTTTTTTATTCCTTGTTTCGCGTACTTATTTTTTTAAAGATCATTGGAGGAAATGGTTTTGCCAAAAACATCCAGACGGAGGAGAAAATAAAAAAATGTTTTATTGGTGAATGTAAAATGTTAAATGCTTCAAGTTTATAAAGAAATATACATATTTTATTTTTGGAGATTTCATGGCAGCGGAGGGCATAATAACAATTTTTAAAAAACTTTAATTTTTTTCTGAAATTTCCATTTTTTGTGGCCAAACTGGCCAAAAATTAAAATTTTATTTTTATTTGAAATCATCAATATTTGCGTTCGGCAGGTTCACGAAACAAGGTATAAAAAAGTCTTGCCCTAGTTAGATGGGTTCTCAATCAAGTAATTACAATTGATATAAGAATAGACATACCTCTTTGTCTTGCAAGCAATATCTAAGTACTCTGTATTGAATGGGATCACTGCAGGTCCTTTGTAGTATTTCCATTGAGCAGGCTTGACTTTAAATTCCAACGCCTCATCAACCAAGGCTCTGTCGATGGTATTTACACGAAAATCGCCATCGCAGCTAACTTGAACTGACCTATGAAATAAAGGTTCAAATTAAGCTATATCATGGTGCTTTTTACATTTACTTATTTAAAATATACAGTATACTTATAATATGCATGTTATACTCACCCATTTCCATTGTTGAGCGAAAACGTTGGTGTCAAATTGCATTTCCAAGCAATGCTTTTCGGACAAATATCCTTTGGGATATTCAGTTTAGGGATGATGCAAATAGAGTCACTCTCCGAACTAACTGAGCTGTTATAAAGATCACCCTCAAGTTGTTTAAATTTATTGCTCTCCTTTAAGATTCTAATCTTTTCATGGTTTTTAAAGATGGTGTCCTTTAATTGTAGTTTGTCTTTTATTTTCTTTATAATCATCTTTTTATCCTTTGCAAGAGTTTTGTATTTGTTCTTATTGTTCTGGATGTTGGCGGCCATGTTAACTGTATCAGGTACAATACCAGGTGCCACAAGTACTCCATCACCACCTCTGTCATCTAAGTAAAAAGATCAACTCTTATTAACTATTAAAGATTTTTCTTTTATTTTATACTTAATATCCTAGGCATTGATGGACAGTTTGAGAAATTCTTTATATTCGTGAATACTCATTTTTTATTCACATTTAATTATATGGGATTTTGTAGCATACCGTACATTTATTAAAAAGAATTGCTCTAGAAGCGCTCCCCATACTCCCCGATGTTGAATACAAAATAAATTACACATAATACGCAAACTCTTCCACTTCCTGGGGAGTATTCATAGTTATTGCACTACAAATTTTTTTCCAGGTCATAGCTTCCTACTAGGAACCCATTTATACTTGTGGGTGAATAGAGGCAATACAGAGTACCCAAGCAGACAAGCAATGGGACTCATATTCACAACCTCCTGATTGCAGCCTGACTGTGTCACACAGCTTCCACAGGGACAACATGCAATGTGACCAGTCGCAGATCCTTCATTTGCAGAAAGCCCAAAACTTAAGCAGTGTTTTCACACTCACTATAATTCCACATTCGCTATTATTTCACTATAATTTCATGAAGAATAAAATTAATCTGAATTTGATTTATCATATTTTATTGGTAAATACAGTATAATGACATCAACATCTTGCCCATATATGGGCAAACTTAATCAACATCTTGCCCATATATGGGCAAACTTAATCAAGATCCTGCCCATATATGGGCAAACTTAATCACACAATACTTGTCACTAAAACTTGATACTATAGTGTGGACAGAACATTACTGCTGTGACCCATGCCTACTACAACAAAACCATTCAGAATATACACAACTAAACAGTTTTACAAAGCCATAGATTTTGTACATAATATTATGTACATACTGAATACAGATGTGAATCTCCTGTGCTTAGAGGAGATGATAGAATTTGAGATATGAGAGGAAGATTATGATGGCTACTGTAGGTCTAGTAAATCCTCTTGTATTAACCCAAAGGTATCATGTGTAGGAGATGCATCAATCAATTCTCCAATTCAGGAAAGTGTGAAGCTTGTTTATGAAGTCCAGCTTGAATACACATTGTAAAATATATTTAATAATAGGCCTCCATAACAATGAATCAGGCCTGCATTAAATAACAAGCACCAAGGGGTATATTATACAGGTTCTTCCTCTCTTATTTCAATATTATAATTAGTATTTAGTCCAGCTTGAATATACATTGTAAAATATATTTAATATAATAGGCCTCCATAACAATAAATTAGGCCTGCATTAAATAACAAGCAAGGGATATATTGTACATGTTCTGGTACATAATGTACGAGGTTGGTGTTTGCATATAAAAAAAACTCAATTTTACAAAATGTGAAGTGTCTAAATGTTGGATTAGTGGTTATACATTTTCTTAATAAATAGCTGTTTTTTCTTCCCAATTATTGTTTTATACTTATAATTTCTTTCAATTTTAAAAAGTATAAATGATGCGCATCACACATAGAGTTTACAGATGAAGCTTGTTCTTCATGATCTAGGGAATTTTAATCACTTTTTTTATTTATTCAATATATTTTAAAGTGTGAAAGTGCAGTTGAAGATCTAAATAACAAAAGTGTCCAAATCAATCTATAGTTATGATCTTCCTTACACAAGACAGTGAGACTTTCATTTTATACTGAATGTAAGATTTTGACGTCCTACTTTAAATGACCTTTTTGAGAAAGTGTTAAAAAGGCATTAAAACTGACCATCATTGGACTGTCACAGCACTTAGTATACAATAACAAACATCCCTTAACACAGAGGCATCAGTGTTGGGTACAGTGCTGTAAAAAGCTATCCATTTCTAACATTTAATTAATATTCTGCTATCAAATTAAATATACTGTCTGTGATTAAATAAAAATCTTGAAAAAAAAAAAAAAAAAATTACTAAATAAACAATAAAAAAAAAAATTCAATTTCAATTGGTTACTACGTGTGTAGTAAGTTAGATTTATCCTTCAATCGAAAAATGAAAAAAAAAGTTATTATCAGACATAATAATTAATAAGTTCCTATATCTGCATTGGCTTTTAATTTGCTAGTACAGGCCTAAGCATGATTTTGGCATTTAATGTATGAACAAAACTGAATTCCTTTAATCTGGATTTATTTAATACTTTTAAATGAAGAATTTAACTACTTTTTGAGGCCTTCCAAATATTTCACAAAAGACATGCAATCTTTAAATAAACTAAAGGTCATCAAAATCCATAAAAGACTGTTGCTACTGATTAATATAGTAATGTACTACTGCCAACTCCCTTCCTATACCACACATACAGTACTGTAGTTAATATTCTCTTCCTTGCCAATGTTCTCCCTCATAAAAATAAAAGTATGATAGTTTTATTATGCCACACATTGCCAATAAGGCCTTTGGGCGCTTCACATTATTATCCCGCGCAAAGGATCAAACACCTAAGAAAACACTCTGCTCCCCAGGGGAGAATTCCATAACATTTTAGCTAGATCAGTGCACTGATGTTTTAAACTAATAACCAGCTACAAACTTATACTCATGGGTGAAGCGAGACAACTCTAGGTTAGGTGCATTGCCCAAGGACACAAAGCAAATCGCAGGTTTGATTCCTTGACCATAAGGTTAGGTAATACAGTAGGTAAAAGAGCACTTGTAATAAGTTAGCAATATCAGGTACAAAAATCTAAAATACTAATGTTATGGCACAAATAGGTGCTGTGCGAGTGGATCAGATTTGATTTAATTTAAACCTACATGATTTAATCAACATCAACTTTTTCACAAAACAATTTGGTTCTTCTCTTTTTTTCTTTTTCGTTTGTGTATTTTGCAAGACCGCACCACTGACTGTGAGTGCCACGGACACAAAGGTGAAGTGTCACAAATAAATAAATAAATAAATTTGATATACTTTTTTTGACATAATTGCAGGGGGGAAATGTGTGATTATACCTACTGGCCATGGGCCTGTACCCTTACCTCAGCCTTCCACTAGCTAAACCCCGCTACTTTTCAAGCAGTTAGTCCCTCAGAATTTACTACAATCAAAGCCTATCAGACTCTATTTCCTAAATATCAAATGTTTATCTTTCTCTATCAAGGTGTTTTCATCTCTTATGTTACACAGTACACAGTCTAAGGTGTAAACACATCAGGGCTAACTGCTTACAAATCAATATTTGTACTCATCAATCGGATAGGCTCTCCTTGTTCCTCTTAATTACCTAAGGAATAGAGCATTACTGTATAAATAGACTTTTCAACTTGGTTGTATTCAAGCATTTCCTACTGAATTCTTTTATGGTTCAACAACCAGGGGCAGCCCCAGAAACTGCCAATGAGCAGAATCTCCCTGATTAAGGATGGGATCTGAGACCAGATGTGTGTGTGAAGTTAGCTGCTAATTTATATGTGTAAATGCTCTAACTAATAGGCCACACACACAAACACACACCCACACTCCCAGATGCTGCCAAAGCAATGATGACTGAAAGTCAGGGTTAGCCGGTCAGGAACTTTTTTAACTGTTTTATAGGCCAATGGGTTCATTGCTAACTATTACAAACCCCATGGAGTTTTGATAAAACAGTAGTCAGAAGGCTAAAAATATAATTATGTTTACGGTGTCACATTTAATATTTAAAGATTGAAAATGTAACTTTTTCAAATACCATCATATCCTACTTGGATATTTTGGGCATCTCTTTTTTCCTAACCATTGATTTCAAGATTGTGGGTTGGTCAGGCCTGGAAAAACATAGGTTTGTCTGTTTTATGATTGTGCTATGGGCCTAATTGAAACAGCAATTTATTATGGTAATGTAGGATATTGTAATATTTACAAAATATAAGCCAATAACAAATAGGAAAAACAAAAGAAAAACAAGATTGTGTTACAAAATGGCTGCTTTCTATTGCCCTTGAATATAGAAATGGTAAGAAAAGTGCACATGACTGAAAAGCACTTTTTTGCACTCTTTAAATTTGAGTAATGACTGTTTGGAGTTGAGAACAAGCTATAATAAAAACTGGTTATAAGGTGTGCCACATCCTCAACAGCTCAATAAAAAACATGTTTTAAAAGGATCAAGTAAGTTTATCAAGAGACACATTGTGAAACCATTATTTTCTTCCTCCATGGTGAAACAACACAGTTTACAAACTGCACACACAGAGCAGCCATAAAAACATAGAGAAAGACCTTAACAAATCCTAGTACAGTGTACAATATTGCTTATTTGTGGTATCTGCCACTATACAAATTTCCTCATCCTCCTCGAATAAAAAAAGTCTGAATATGTGGCAAAGACAAGCCAAACCAGTCACTCGTCGCAACATCGATTTTGAGTTATTAATACAGTGTTAAAGAGTAAAATAAGAGCTATAAAATGGTAAAAAAATCATTCAAATCTGACATTTCCTTATGAAGTTACAAGCATTTAACCATCGAGCTGATTAAAGAACAATATATGAGAAACCAGCCTTCAAAGTTTATGATTTCAGGCATTTCTCATGCAGAAACTATTATAAAATCATTAAAAAGTGTTGTTTTAACATTGAAATTGGGAAAAATAACAGCACAGCATGATGTATAGATACATGAAACTTAGTTTAGTGAAATAAAATAGATTAAAAAAATTTTTACATTCTAGCATGTTTTTGCTATTTTCTCTGAAACACAATTTGCGACGAGTGACTGGTTTGGCTTGTCTTTGCCACATAGAGTATCTCTTTTATTTTGCCTGATCTATGCTAATTTCAATTAAATTTATTCTTTGAATATAGCAATTAACATGGAGTTACTGTTACCACATATCTAGGCATTTGGGAAGTTCAAATTTCCTCCATTTCTCAGGAGTTTAATACTCAATTACCATGGCAACCATATTTTGCATGTCCTTCTCCAGGCTAGTGTATTGGGTTACAAGTTTTGTGATGCCATGATTATGGATTATACACAAGGGGTAAAATGAATCACCATATCCTATAAATAAGGACACTGACAAGGAACAATATATCATGGTACAAATTGTTACAAATTAATTTTCGATTACATGTCAATCTATTAACATGAGATAAACACACACTTATATTTTAAAAGTTTTAGTTTGAATATCATAAATAGGATATTAAATGTATCTGGGCTATGCTAATACACTGCACCAGTTAAAGCCCCATTCCCGGCAAAATGCAGTTTTTAAGAAAAATCTAATTTTTGTATAATGTTATAAATATTTATAAATATAATACGGAATTGCTAGTTTAACTGAATTTAGACATTCCTAAGAATGAAAAAAATGTAAAATAAGACTGAAATTTGATTTTTTTGTGTTCCACTCAAAAAATAAATGTGGATGAATATTTCATTTTGATTTTGCGATAGGTCGTGAGAAGAAATATCGTAGGTGCCGAAAACATTAGCCTATCCAGCGCTGCTAGGCTAGGCCTAGCCTTACCTTGATTTAGGTTCTGTTATCACACATAAAAACGGGCGACATGATATTTTCCGTTGCTAGAATTGACACTTGTGAAATATAATATTTCATAGGAATTATTTCAAATTTGTTAAAAAACTGATTTTGACTGAGATTTTGACACTTAAACAAACATATCTCAGCTTTAATCGAACGACCGCATTGTGCGAGATACGAAGTACAAAAACTAATCTCATTAGAGAGGGCGCACTTTATTGACTGTATAAAAGTATACATAAGAATGAGAGTATTCCAGTGGATGCGATCTACAACCTCTGAATTTGCCTAGTAACGATGAATTCGTCCAGAAAATGGTAATATTTTATGAGAAATAGTCTGTATTTCTCATTTTTTTTATTCTTTTGCGTAAAACTAAAATTCATGCCAATATTTTTCCATGATTTATAATAATTAATGCAAATGAATATTTTCTAAAAAAAGTCAGTTTTTAGTGAAATTTTGCCGGGAATGGGGCTTTAATGTTTGATAAATTATGGGGATTTGGTCTGGCAGATAGATATATGATGCTTGTAAATTAAATCACAAGGTCCTTGGAATTTTCTCATGATTAAAAACAATTGCCTACCTACAGCTTAAAAGTAAAATTCGGTTTAAGGAGAATCAAATTTAATTACATCGTGTAATTGGTACAGTAATTTTTCAGTGACTGAGAGAGAAACCTATGCAGACGAAATTCCAAACCATAAATTTTACCTGACTGAATATCGAAAACACTTTCTCTGACTCAACTTCTCTTCCAACAAAAAATTAACTTCTCATAAAAACTTTACATTTGGAGTATCTTTGCCATTGACGGCCCACCGGAAAGGTCAAGCCTCCCCCCCACCCCGGTCGGACAGAGCTTGTCAGGCAGTCAGACCATAAAAAAATATAAAAATAGGCCCATACCAAGCCAACATATATGTCCATTTCCGGCCATCCAGAGATTGCTATTCTTAAAAAAATCTCATTGTTGGGAGGGGGAATCCCGTCCCCCAGCTCTGGCCTACAAGCCGCCACTGGCCATTGATGTTTTACTACTGCATGAGAGTGAAACAACAAAAACATGTTTGATGGTTTTAATTTGGGGTTCCTATCAGCTAGTTAATCAACATACTCCAACAATTAGTCCTGTGATACTCTCACCTGTGTTCAAACATTCCAGTTCAAGCAAGGTCACCATTCAAAGTAACTTTCCCATGAGCTAACTTTTTATAGTAACATCCTAACTATCCGCAGCTGAGCAGGTGTTTCCTTGCATTTGATACATGTGCTTTTATCATAGGCAGTCATGCATGGAAAAGCTGAGGATGTTTGTATTTCATCAGGCATGAGATAATTAATGTGGACTCAAATTAATTATGACATTAATTTATGTGAATGTCCCTTTAATACTTACATAGCCATTATTAATGCATTTTAGTACTGTAATTGATTTAGTACAAAATTGTGCTTTATGTGAATATCCCTTTAATATTACATAGCTTACATAGCTATGGTGAAGTATATTAATATGTATTTGTGTTACCGTATGTGTGAATGCCTCTTTATCAGTTACTACTGCTTCTGCTCCAGTAACATAGATTAATGATTGATTCCCATTGGGGCTAGAACTCATGAGTAAATATCACTATTAACATGCTCTTTGCATCTATATATACAGTAGTGACAACATTTAGTATTATGTTCAAATTATATTACTCATTCTTATATCATTGAGAGATAAAAAAAATAAACTAGGCCTCTAGGCTAGGCCTGCCTGTATGTAGGCCCATGTATCAATTCAATAATGGCCCTCCATCAGGGGCGGTGCCATCGGACAGGTCAAGCTCCACCCCTCCCCCCACCGGTCAGAGCTTGTCGGGCAGTCAAAACAAAAAAAATTAGGTCAACGCCAAACCATGGCCGCAACAGATTCTGAGAGTGCCATTCTGGGCCATCCATAGGTCCCTATTTAAACAAAATTTAATTTGAGATGGGGACTCCCTTGCAACCATCCGGCTCGGTCATAGTTATTCTTATCTCACTCAGTCTCCTGTCAGACAGCTTAGCACACCACCCCCCAGAAAATATATCCTACAGCTGCCACTGTTAGGCATCAATTAAAAATACGCTGCAAAAACAAAAAAAGAATATGTATATATACCTAACAATTAATATATATAAATAGATTGTGGAGCGATTTTCATTATTTATAAATAATTTAAAGTGGCAAAACATTATTTTAAAAATAATTTAAAGTAAAAAAACATTAATAATGACTATGTATGAGTAAAATCATTATTTATACATCCTAGGCCTAATGACTTTCTTCAGCACTTCAATTATTTATACAATTATTTATAAATAATGTTTTGCTACTAATTATTCATAAATAATGAGAATCGCTCCACCAATTATTCACATAGCCTAACTGTTGGAGGCAAAAATAATTATATAATGAAAAAATGTTGAATTAAATATACTAATATTAATATCTAAATAATTAATAATGAATTATATCACGCCTAATAATAATAATAATACGCACACGTACGTTAATCAACATTGCGCGCTTTTCACTAGGCCTACGTGTGGAATAATTTTGCCATTTTATCATCAAATAATAAATACTTGGCATAGACCTTTTAAATACATATACTCTATCTTCAAATTTAATTTAAAAAAAATAACAACAACAAAAACCTCAAAAAAAGTAAAATTAATTCACCTTACCGTAGGGTCTACGGCCAACAACAGCCACCGCCATATCGTCACCGTTCCGCGGTTCATCATGAGACACAAACAGATCCATCTTTTTATCATTCTTGTTACTGAATGAAGTGAGTCCTACTAGAAGCAAAATTTGCGGAACGCAAAATACAAGAAACACAATACATAATTTTCGTAAATGTCTCCACATTTTGAAGAAGATGATGGTGTGACCACAACAAGCTCACCATCAGCTGGGACCTATCATTATCAGATGAATGAAGTTTTGAGATGAGAGCTAGCTTTTGAAAAGCGAAAAAGGTCGAAATGTTTTAGAGGGCGCTATGTAAGGTTTTCAAACGAAACCAAGAAGGGATGGCTAGTTTGAGAACCGCCGTACAGTATATAGTACAGGAACAAAAACAGAAGGCTTTAATGGAGGAATACGTTCTGCAGATGGTGTGGTGATGGGGAACAAAAGTACGTTACCGGTACTTACTTGCTATCTTTAAAATCCTTATTCCTATATCTGTCTGCTCAGTAATAAGAATTTATTATTTTTTAAATGTCCATTCCTCCCTGAATTAATCGTTGATTATAACTTTTTATTTGATAAACACGAACTATCGTCAAACTTCAACTTGTAAATTGATGGAAAACATTAAAAGTAATACAAAGACATATCGATAAAAATATCTAAAATTTAAAGAATATGAATAATGACTCCAGTGACTCCATACAATAATTTAGAATCATTAAAATATTAAAAAGTAGGCTATACATATAGTGTGCGTACAATAACGTAAAAATACACAAGCATTAAACTGTAAATAACAATTTTTTGTTTGTTTTTTATTTTATTTATTTATTTATTTATTTATTTATTTTTTTTTTTTTTGAGTTTTTTTTTAAACTGCTTCGGAAATAGTATTAAGAAATATAAACATCAAAAATATTAAACATAAGTAATTTAACTGATTCTATTGTTCTAACTCTCTTTTATGAATATTTTTAATCAATAAATCAAAACAGAATTCCCAGAAAAACGAAAGAAAAGAAAGAAAAAAAACCCCCCAAGGATAGCAAACCAAATTTTTCCAGTCGATTTTTCACCCTGGCCGAACTTTCTTGGGTATTGAGGGCGCTATGTAAAGTATGGCGGACTGTGAAGATAACAGATCTGCTGAAAATCAAGAAGATTCAAGACTAGAATTAACTACTTCTAATACTTACAGGTAACTAGTAACATTCACATTTTGTTTTATTGTTTTAATCAATTAGTAACTGTTATACTTGTATCTGATTTTAACCTAAGACTAGTAATTAATTATGACGATCAGTGATGTGGGTGGCGCGAAGGATGCTGATCGGCTGGATGGATTGGGATGATGTTATTGATGATGTTGATGAAGTTGTCACTTGTTGTGCGCTGCAGGACGACTAGCTAGGCCTACAGTAGGGCCTGGCCTATCCTAGGCCTACTGAAACCATCACAACTGTACGGATTTTTGATTTGACTGTATAGGCCTAGGTTTATGCCTAGGCCTTCTCAATTTTTATACGAGCGACGCTATCATGCATGCGCTAGCTGTCGTAAGAATAGCATTGGGAGCTATCTTCATGACTCGCCGTAAAATAGTCACTTCGTTTAATTATTGGCAGACATGGCTGTAATGTTTATTACACCAGGCGGCCCAGGCCTATAGTATAGAGTACCATGGTCGTGTCGTTACGTTGCCAGATGGCGCTCTCTGTTGTCAACAGACGTAAGTTACTGTACATCACGCCTGACTGCATAGGCTTTCTAGGCATTTTTAAATCTAATATTTTACCATCAAAATGTACTAAAAACACAAAAGCTCCAATATTAGTTATCAAACACACATTTGACTCCGTGCACTGCTTGCCACCACACCTTACTACTATATATATATTATTATTTTTTTCTGTATTATATCCTTTTTAGTTGTTGTTAAGCGCATAAAGGCAGTTTCTTGCAATATGCACTATATAAATAGCAATTTATTATTATTATTATTTAATCATCAATTAAAATTTACAAATAAAAAGAAAGATACAACATCTTAATAATTACGTTAGAAATTGGGATCAATGGTTTGTCAGTGGCGAAAATGGCGTCTGGTTCAACGCTTTTTGCAACGATAGCATCGGAGTAGTATCACATGGTATCGTGACGCTGTACACTGTAGTACTCTATATATATAATCAAATTAAGTCTGTGGCCTAGCGACTGTAAACGGAATATATAGGCTAAAAAGATAATGAATATTTACTAATTATAGGCCTATATGATTTCCAAGGTGGGACCTTTTTAGTTTAAGTAACATTAGCTCCACTGTGTGTGTGTTTCATTCAGTTGTATGAGAGAAAGTGCTTGGGGGTTAGATCTGCGCATAGAGGTCTCTGTGGTCTAATAGTATGATACTCACCTTAATAGCTAGAGGTTGCTGGTTCGAAAATCCCATTAGAGACACTTTTTTTTCATACAACTGAAAAAAGGAACTTTTCATTGAAGAGCTATCTTGATGAATATAAGATTATAACTTAATGTTCCTATTTGAGCACTGTTATCATTTATCTATTTTTATATTAAAATATTCATATGTATGCATATATTTATATACAAATATACATATAATAATATAATCCTGCTTATTTAAATTATTTGACCTAAGCCTATAGAGTATTTTTTTTGTTATATTTTTCATTATCTCCTTTATCCTTAGGTTGACACTAATAGATGATTATGAAAGTGATGGTGTCTTTGAAAATGAGGCAGACCTACTTGGGAACACAAGTTTTGACAATGTACATTTTATAGCACAATGTAAGAAATAAACGTATTTGATTATATTATGGTTAAGTTTTATTCTTCCAACAATAATATCTATTGTTTTGTTTATGTATGACACGTTTTGTTAACTTAAATTGACAATTGCTATCAAATTGATGCATTGTATGATATGATATTATTATTATATGATATGTGATAATGATGTAATATGGTATGTAGAGTAGAATTGTAATGTAATATGAGGTTACCGTATATGACACCTAACATTTAAGGAAATAGTTTTATCAACTTACATTACTAAATGTGTTTGGTACACATTAGCATTTTAAACCTTAGGATTTACAACTACCTTACACTCCATTTGATTGACATGTAGCCCCTGAATCAGCACAGAGGAAAGAGAATGAAACGGAAAAAGAAGAAGACACTGCACTTGAGGCCGATACAGCTGACCCAGATGTTGTGAATAACGAAAATTATGAAAGCATGGTTCTCGATGAATCCTCTGCAGGGCCATTACTTCAGGAGTCAGACTCTGATTACCGAGATAAGAATGACAGATGCGCATCGAAGCTTCTTGATATATTAGACGAGGAAATTAGCAAAAACAGTAATCAAAGGCAAAACAAGAATGAGGTATTCCATGGGGCTTGCCATGTCAAAACCAGCTTCAGTGACAAAAAACATGAAAATTGACTTTTTAATATATTCATTATCTCCACATTATAAATAAGCTTTAAAACGATAGATCATTTTACTGGAATCAATTTACTGTCGTTAAAGTTATGAGTAAAATTATTACAGCTTTGCTGTACTAAAGTTTACTACTGTCACATACTTATAATGATTACTCAATTGAACATTTATTGACAGTACACTGGTTTGGGATGTCAAGCCTCATATTAATTTTGCATTTTTTATATAAAATCTAAAGATTTTATCAGTATTGCTATTAGATGTGATCTGTCATCAGCTCATTTTATTGTCTGTTTAACAGTCAGTCATACATATAAAATCAACCAATTGCAGGGCTGAAAGCGCAAGATGTTTCTATTAAATCTGTTTGTATTAAATCTAAATAAATTAATTTTATTTTCTATTTTATTTAATTTTTTCCAACTTCAATGCAATCTCTATTTGAATTAACTGCAAAACTAAAAATATTTTAAACCTAATCTGAACCCCTTATAATCATTAACAGAATAGACCTTAAAATTTCCCAGTCTGTTTTAATGACATGTCCTCCTTAGTTTAAGTTTTTATTGCTGAATCCTTTCTTATGTAGAAGCAGAATGAAAAAATACCAAAGAGGAAGAAGAGGAAAGGCGGTGGACGCAAACTGCCACAAATGCCTCCACCAAGTTAGTACAACATGTTTTGTAGAACTTTGAAATATTGGGGACTTCTATCCATGCAACCACCTCCTATCCCATTGTATGTCGTACTGAAGAGCATATGGAGTTGTCTTTATGCACTATATATATGTACAAATTATAATTTTTTTTTTCTATGCAACTTATACTTTTTTGCAAGATTCTTTTCAGTGTTTCCTTCCTTTTCCAATTTGATAAGCCTACTGTAGAATTTAAACCACTATACAACAGCTTATGTTGTTCATGGAATTAATACCTTTTTAGTTTTCAGTTCATTTAATTTATTCATCTCAATTTCGTACATATATAGCACAACAATAGCATTAAAACTACCCAAAGAAAAAGGCGTAAGAATGACAATAAGCATAGTTAAGTTAAATATTGCAGGATAAGTATTCTGGATTTTAATATATTACTGTTCCTCAATTCTCTTATAAGGTGCGTAAGGGAGAGCGGGGTAGCTAATAAAAATTCTTTTAATTATTGGTATTTGAAGTGGTTTAGTACTGTTTCCTTAATTTCTTTTACTATGTGTATTTGTGAATTTTATGGTGAATTGATTCCAGTTATAGAATATCAAAAGCTAAGGTTCCGTTTAGAGATCAATTATAAACTAAAAAAGACCAAGTTTATCTAGGAAATGACTTGTATATTAATTTGTAATTTCTTTCTTTGTAAACTAGGGAATGTACAGGATGACTTAGAAAGTGCTAATGTAAAGCAGTCCAAAAATACATCTCCAAAACTATCTACAACTCCACTTTCCATTGGCGGTACTTCCAACGATTCTCCTGCAGAGAACCAATCAGCGAGTTCCTTAGAAAATGAACCATCAACGGTAATCAAGAATAGGCCAAGAAAATTATGCTGTAACTACCAATCTGATTGGAGCATGAGTCCAGACTATTCCATTTCTTCTGAGAGTAGAACCATAGAGTTCAATACTACAAGCTCAATAAATCGACCATTGTTGAATAGTGATAACGTGTACATAAATGAGGACAGAAGTCCAGAGATGAAACCACCTCAGAGAAAGAAATCAAATACTGGCTTCAAAGATGAAACTATTTTTACAGAGAGTCCAGGTAAGGAAAAATGTACAGGTATATTTTGTTTTACATGTGATATTTTATTTTAAATTTAAAGTAACTGTCCAAAATGTTGATTGAGGTGAGCCACACTTATCTAACAAGCTCAGCCATTCGTTCGTGTAATTGCCTGTTGTGCTACATGTAACAACATTTCTTGATACTCTGACTTTAGACCCTGTTTAGCCCTTGGACACCTGGTTGGGGAATCTCAAACTCTGCCACTATATATAGATTGGCTATGCTTATAGAATAAATTTTAATCACAGTACTATAAATACTTCCTAAACTACCTGTGTAGTTTGTTGATTTTTCTTGTTTCCAGAAGTTGGTCGGAAAGTTTTTAGGCCTACGACACTGAGTCTCAATGGATACGTGATCTCACAGACACATAAAGCAATATTTCGCTTCATTCCACGGCACCACGATGAATTACTACTTGACATTGGTGACCCTGTGCACCTAGACAAAAAATCCAAAGACCTTTGGTATGAAGGAATCAACCTGAGGACCGGGAAAGAAGGATGCTTTCCAGGGCAATATGTCCGTGAGGTGACCCCTGACACAGAGACAGAACCAGGTGAGGACATCACAGTGATTTTGGTCAGAAGAAATTGTTCATGGTTTTGGGGGGGGGGGGTGAGTGATAAAAGCTTGCAGCATCTAAGGCTTACTGGCACTAATGCACTTTAGCACTCCACCCCAACCCTAACTCCAGTCTGGGTATCTTAATGTTAAGGTTAGGGTTAGGCCTAAAGTAGAGTAATGAAGTGCATTAGCGACTGCTTACCTAGCAGAATTGCTGCTGTTATTGTGTTTTATTATTGGTGCAATTATTATTGTTATAACCAAAAGTAAAAGGCGCAATATAAATGCTCGTACCAGTGCCAGTGTTATTTTTATTATTGTCATTTAATTGTTATATTTGTTATTGTTTATTATAATTGTTTACCAGCAAAATATAAGGATTTTTAAAGTAAAACATGTGTATAGAGTTTTTTTTTTGTTTTTTTTTTACAGGAATGAATGGAAAGAGAATGTACGTGAATAGGTTTCATCTAAAGTTCCTAGGGTCTGTTGAGGTACCCACTCACAAAGGGAATGACATCCTCTGTAAGGCTATGCAAAAGGTATTGTACTGTTTATTTATATAATTATTTATTTAAAACCATATTTTAAGGCGGGTAGTCCATCCTGAAAAGCTAATCGTTTAGGGCCTGTACATACATAAAAAATACAACTTAATAATAAGACATATCTTTTTTATGCATTTAACTGATTTTCTTACAAGAGTATCAGTGTTTATACCTGTACACAATACCTGTAAACTTTTTTAAAACATTGTATGTGCAGATTGTTTTGGACATTGCTTAAATGAATTCAGTTATAAAAATTTTAATAATAAAAAATAAACTCAAATCTAAATAAAAGACAAAATAGTAGATATTATGGAAATTGTGTTGAAATATATCTTTATGAATAAATAATTTTTTTATGAGTTTGTAAATTTATGCAAGGCCCATTACACTATCATATAATCAATGTATCTATGTATTATTTCTACTAACGCCCCGGTGTAAGTTCACTTATCTCCTCTAAAACCCCTGGAAGGAATGTGCTCATATTTTATCCACAACGATTGCCTCCTTAACTTACCGTAACATTCAATAGTACATCGCCACCTATCCCCAATATTTCAACACCGTGCGGAGCACGGGTATATGATATATAGTATAGATAATTTGCTAAATTTTGTCCAATCAGGTGGTCACAGCAAGACACGTATCAGTAGAGATTTATAGCCCCGCCCCTTGCCAGCTAGAGATAAGCGACAAAGGAATTCGTATGATTGACTACACTAAAGAAAATAAGAATAATCAGGTAAATATCTTGCCTTGAGAAGATCTTTGTGTTATCTTTACCATTTCTTGACTTAGATAATTTTTATTATTTTTTTTAATTGCATATTTGCTAGCTAATTTTTTGTTTGATTTGGGAAGCTCATACCAAATAACCATTTCCCTTCCTAGATGACCATTTCAGATTTTGCTTAAAATCCACTCCACCAATTGTTGTGAACACTTAGAATTAAGATAATAATAATAATAATAATAATAATAATAATAATAATAATAATAATTTTTAAAGCGCAAACATCACCACCAAAAATAGGTGCTCAAGGCGCAGTGTCAAAACAACAGGAAGAGAACAAACAAATCACAAAGAACTAAGTGAAAACATGTTAATTTTTATTTTTATTTTAATATTTGGTTTATAAAGCATAGCAGAGTCCTTCTGGGAAAAACATAGCCTGGTTTTTGATACGGGTTATGATCCCCAGTATAAATGTAAAAGGTAGATAAATAAGAAGTGATTTACATATTAATTATATTACTTGCCACACAATAAGATAAATCCCATTTGTTTTTAAAATGGTCATTCCCAATAAAATATTCCCAATAAAATATATCCTATCTTTTTATCCATTATGATGATTGGTAATTTTTTTCAGAAAAAGGATACCATGAGGAAAAAAGTTGGTAAATTTCTCTCCGGGAAATCCAGACAAGGGAAGACTCACTTCTTTTCTTTAAAGAACGTTTCTTTTTGTGGCTACCATCCTGCTAATGATAGGTATGCACATTTATATTTTTATTTTCTTATTTAGTGTTGTTGATATTGTGGTGATGAAGATGATGATGTAATAATGTTGATTTGATGATGAGTGACGGTCTAACTAGTAAATTTTGGTCTGGTGATACGACCCACAGTGACGTTTTGCATCAAGAGAAATAATACAAATCTATGTTTGCCCTACCTGACGTGTTATACTGTAGCACCAAATGCATATCTGGGGATCATGGGTTCGATTTCCACCCGAATCACATGCAAAATTCATTCATTTCAAAATGTACTTAGCATTTAGTACGTCAGGTAGGCCAAACATCTATTTGTACCATATTATGATTATGTAATTACAATTAAGGCTATGAATATTCAAATTTTTATACTATAAATGATTATTATACATGTTTTTTTGTACCAACAGGTACTTCGGTTTCATCACTAAACATCCTGCGGAGACACGATACGCCTGCCATGTCTTCATCACAGATGAGGGAGAAAGTGCTAAGCCAATAGCAACATCTCTAGGGTAGGTTTCTCATTCAGTTTAGTTACCATATTAAGACACATGCCAAACACATTCTGGGTTTTTTTAATTTCTTTAAAAATGTATATGTACATTATGTAGTTGTTGCTGTTGTTATTGTTATAAATTTTGTTATATAGTAAATATCATATGATACATATTAATATATTACCTAAAGCTTAAGATTGGCATTTTCAAAAATTATACAATTATTTTGTGCTCTCCTTTGATTTAATAAAAGTATTGTCGTGGGAAAAAAGTTGTTAAGGCTTTGGCAGCAATTTTTTTGGGCCTAATTATATGTACACATACAAATGCAACAGATCAATAATATATAAATCATAACTTTCTTCTTAGATTCGCATTCCAGCGGTTTTACGATGAATTCATAGAATTTACTAATCCAACCGAGGACATTTACATGGAATGAAGTTCACAAGGAATCCTAGAGCATTGTGTGATCATATTTCATTGTGGGTTGTGTCCAGTATTCTATTTTATGCTAATTTTACCTATAGCTAGCCATTGAGGCTGAGTAAAGCCAATCGTGTGAGAGCGGTTGGCCAAGGGCAGCTTTTAGTACTGTCTTTCTAAGAGAATAAGTGTATACGTGGTAGGTTTTAATTGCCATTGCCCTGTAACGTTATGTAATAACAGCCAGTTGAGTATACATTCTATAGCCATATGTTGCAATGACAGGGCTAATAATGTGAAGCAATTTGAGCCCTAAACATTAGTTTGAGTTACATGGTAATAATAAATGAATGTATTTGTAGTGTCCTCAGTAAAAGGATACAGTAGCCTGCCTAAAAGTATTTTCGTCTAAATGCCTGCTAGATGGAAAAGTCATTGTGTTATATTACCTTATTCAGACTAGTATTAGTAGCATCGCATTGTGATCGGTTTTAGCAATTGTGACACCCAATCACAATTTATAATCGTGTGTGAAAGCTCACTAATAATAGTCAATATAATCGATATCGCAAATGTTACCTGTTGCGATTGGGTGCTACAATCTTTATTACTTCCGATTACCAGGGAAGCGAATGACTACAAATTTCACAGGCACTGATTTGCTGCGATCAGTCAAAGTAGGTTTAGCCATCGGAGGCTTAGTACCATTTGACCTCCTGTTCCAATATAAAGTATTTTGTGTCTGATTTGGTCTGAATGCGCTAGTTGATTGCGATTGGGAGTAATCAGTTTTGAATTACCACCGATTACATCTGAATCTGAATAGGGTATAAGGTGGTCTCTGATAGACATTCTGTGTGGTTCAAATGTAAATCTGGTGATTGTTTGAATCATGATATGTACAGTATATTCATCTGTATTATTATTAATTTCATCAAATATTTTGCCAAGAAAATTTGAAACCCAATATTAGTAATTAAATCTTCTGAAGCCTTACCAAGGCTTTAAATCTATATAAAGCTTTCTAGTATATAAGAATTTTATTGTGCAATATTTGTTATTCCATCCATGGTATGTTTCCATTGTTATTAATTGATACCAAATTCTTTAAACAACATTATCACCTTGGTTCTATTAATTTAGTATTTGTTCTTATTTTAATTTCAGGGATATTCATATCTTATATAAATTACCTTTTTGCATTATGCTGATAACAATTTCCATTTTATGATAATACCTTTAACTATTTCAGCAGTATAACTGCAAATTAATGTTTTCAGTATTAAACCAGAAGTTTAAAGCTAATGAAATGTCATTATTATAGCAATAAAATAGTATTCTTTCTTTAAAGATATACTTTAATTGAATTTGTATACTTTTCACCATTAAGTTATTGCATGAGGTACATTCCTATTAGAGTTTTATGGTTGTAGATGCAACATTTGGTACTCAACCAATGCGGCATTGAGAAAATCTATTACTGTTTTCCACAGGCTATGTAACAACTGTAAGGAAAATAATGAGAAAGAGCACACTGAGACGTAGTTGTATAGTGTGCTGTGTAAATACTGACATATTATTTATATTGATCTGATCCAGAGAAATTAGCTATTTCGTATATATCAAGTTGTTGTAAAGTATTATAATTTGTCTTCTATTTCACCTTTTTAAGCTGGGTTGTCTCTTGTGTAATATATTTGGTGCCTTTTTCCTTGCAGGGTTTGTACATGTGCTGTATTTGCAGGGTGTAAACATGATGTCTTCCTTTCAATTGCATTTCCCTTGTCGATATATTTCTAAATAGGTTTGTGGGAGAGGTTGATGGTATAAATTATCAACCACTGTTCTGAGAACTTGATGTCAAAAGAAGTTCAGATGCTGATATAGCAATTTGAATAAGCAGTTTAAAAAATGCTGAAAAATGTTTTGGGAGTTTAGAAAATTTTGGTACACATTGGTCGTGTACAAGCACTAAGAATACTGTAGGAATTTTATTTACTTTTAAGATTTTTGGCCACACTCCCATTGCAGAGGGGTGTTACATTTTGAGTCATGTATCGGAGGGTGACATGCCTTAAATTGCTAATACACCGTGCAATGTTGTTTTGGTTAGTATTCAAGTGTCCTGTGAGACTAGGTTCATGGTATAATTTCATCTGTTTCCTTTCGTTGTTGTCAAGCGCATCAAGGTTGGTTCAGCGGGAGGCGCTATGCTATACAAATAGCAAATTATTATTTTTATTATTATCATTATTATTATTATTATTATATCACTCACATAATTATTGCGATGTCATCAATCTGTTTCATAAGGTTAAGTTTGGGGAAGCCGCTAAATTTCAGGCCCCTAATAGTTAAGCGGCCCTATAAGGAGCAGTACTGCCAGGTCAACAAGGGCTGTTCTTCCTCTTGAGGGTAAAGCCTTTGTTCCTCCACCCCAACTACCCACTTTGGCAGCACTTAGGTACAGTAGTACCAAGACTAAACACAAGCTACTTTCACATCTTTCAATTTTAGTTTTATTTCAGCGATAATGATCATTTCATAATTTCTGTAAATATCGAACATTATTATATGGCTGTGATTGAAGTGACGTGTATTATGTACATTATTTGATATATCAATAAGAGATTTAAATTTGATGTGTTTAACTCAATTCCTATAATGATCATGTGCAGTTGTATTCCCTTTATGCGGCTTCGGTCTCTAATTAAATAATTAATAAAGATAAGACATTTTGCTAATATGGGACCACAGAAAAGTGGTCTTTATTTGGAGGGTTATTTAATGGAGGGAGACCTGTATTTCTTAAAAGCTTATCCAAATATTTTTTATTCATTTTGATTCACATTTGAAAATGTATGTTAAAAACATTAAGTAGTATTGTTTTTATTAAATAATTTTAAAACAGCTTTTACTTTTCATTTTTAATTAGTCAAGTAATTATATGTTCATTGTGATTCCAATTGATTAAAAGTAATGTAATTTTTTAGTTTAAAACTTTTTGTTTCATGGAAATTCTCATTTGAACTTTAGTTTTAATAACAGATGTGTCTCTCTGTTTAACAGCTTTGTAGTGAGTATATTCACAAGATGATATTGATTTTATTGAAATGTTGTAAAATACAAATTATTAGATTAAGTATATAGATTGTGACCAAACTTTTCATTTTCTTCAGTCAGGTAGTATATTTTCTTTATATTGTTTATCAGTAAAATTTTCAAGCTTTAAAATAATTTCTTATCATTGATGTGGATCCCATATTTCTTTCTAATGGTGCTTTTTATATTATATAAAGTTTTCCAAACTATTCGCTCATCACTGAACATAGCTAATATTTTATTATATGTAAAGTAGTGTATATACCCATCTCTTCCTTTTGTCTACCACATACTGTATTTGAATTCTAGCTAGAGCTTTATATATGTGTATTTTCTTATTTTAAATAAAAAAAAAAAATTATGCCATTTCTATCAGGGGCGGATTTGCGGATTTAGGGGGCGGGGGGAAGGCCAGCCCTTTTTGGGAAGTAAAAAAAAAGAAAGAAAAAGGAAAAAATTAATCACCCAAAAATGCCTCAGAGGTTATTTTCTGGCATCTAGAATGCATGTTGTCTAAATCGGCCCTACTTTTGGCCCCCCACCCCGTTTTTGGACACCTGGATCTGCCCCTGTCCTTTATTTATAATGTATTTATCTCTATGACTATGTCTCTTACAAAGATTATTCTCTAATATAGAGTGAATAATTTCCAATGTTTATTTCAGACTTTTCTATGACCTTAAAACTTATAATGTGTAAAAAATACAAATATACACTTTCCTTCCCATCTACTCCATTCTACTGTGCAATAAAATCATTTTACCAGTAAGCCTTCTAATTTAATCAAGGCATTTGTTAGATTTTACTGTATTTTTTTTCACAAAACCATTAACGCACACTGTCACAAACTGCCTATTCTTGATTTAGATTTTGTCTTGTTTTTTGCTAGAATATTAAGCAATATTTTACATTCACTTGGTGATATTCTTCCTGATATACAACTCTATTTACCAGTTATTGATTGTGGTAAGGTTAATAATTGTATATGTTATATGTTTTAATATGTTGATATTATACTCTATTTCATTAATGATTTGCTTTATTTCATTTATGTTGTGTCAAATATAATAAACTACCAAAAAAAAACAAAAAAAAAAAGTTTTTTACAGTTTTTGGAATTTTATTTCAATCATGTCCATCAGCAAGTCACTCATAGATCACAAGACTGGCGCGGATCCAGTAAGGGGGTGGGGGCGCACAGGGACCACTCCCCCCCCCCAGTTTTGCCACAAAATTTTAAAATTTCAATGCATATCAATGTTATGTAGGCCTATTGAAATAAGTGCTACTTACTTACCTATTCTGAAAATGTTATGCCCCCCTCGTTTAAAGAATCCTGCAAGATGTGAAAATACTATAAACTGATACCAGTTTCCTACAATGATATTGTTAATCAAGTGTTAAGCTAAGGGATAAGAAACATATAAATATTATCATAATACGAATACTACTGTATATAGCGCACAATCTACCTCAAAAAAGCTGACGACGCTTATTTCACTACGAGATTTTTAAAAGACTGCTTTGCTATAATGCTTTACTGAAACTCAGTTCAGGTATTATAACAGGTAGGCCTATGTTATAATATGAGTCACAACGTTATTAACTTCATCAGAAGTCTAAACTTATAATTAGGCACATTATTGGATCTCCGAGTAGGCCTATGTGTGAATGCAATTCCGACTGAATGGAGGCTTATTTTACAATACACACATGATACAATTAACTTCACATCTGGTGGAAATATATATAAACACATCAGTTGGTAACTTAAAGAAAACTGTTTTCCAGTAAAATCATCGATGACTTTTTTCAATACTGTAGTTTGGTCAAATAATTATGTGACTGTTTTAATGGAAAAATATAATGAATACATTTAAGTTAGTCAACGTTAGTTATTATGTCTTTACTGTGTCCATTTTAAAAATTTAATATTAGTCATATTTGTTGTTATTATGATTATTATTTTTATTTTATTTTATAGTTAGTATTTTATTGTTATTTGTATTTTCTCAGTTGCCTTATATTATTTCTGTGTAAAGCACATATGGGCAATGTGCAATATGCGCTATATATAACATTATTATTATTATTATTTGTGTTCAAATTTGGTAGTAGTAATGTCAGATAACCCCTCAAATATTAAACAGTTACTAAAAACAGCCAAAATGTGCCAGCCAGGTTTCTACACTAGATGAACATAGGGCCTAGATCCCGAAACCTCACAGATTTCAAACATTTAAATTTAAAAACTATAGAAACATTGTCATCTGTAAAGTTTTTTTAAAAATCCTAATTGTTGTCAATTAACATTACATTTGTTTAAAACTTTTCTGGTTAATATTTTTCGAAAAGTGATCATGGTAGAGGTCTTTGTCACTTGTGACATAATGAAAGGTGGTCACGGCAAAGATTAGCGGCGCTATACAATCTTTGGTCACAAAGAACAAATAACAACCCAACGAGCAATGGAGAGAAGAATGTTACACCTCCGACTAACAGATAGAGTTCGGCATTGGCGAACCTGGAAGGGGTTCAGGGAGTTTTGACCCCTCCATCTCTTGGGCAAAAAAAGAAAGAATAAATAAATAAATTTAAAAAAATATAATAAATAAAATTAAAAAATAAATTTTTAGACCTCTATTTTTTTCAGGACCCGTAGCTGAATTTTGTTTTTTTTACAAGTCGGGAAAGCTTATTTCCCGCCATTTAGGGATCAAAATTTTCCCGGGGGAGGACCCCGACCCCCTTTATTTTTGGGGTTCATCGATTTATGTATAGGCCTATGTACTGGTACGCACATAATAGGCCTATTTACTGTAATATTATAAGAATGAGAAAAATTTACCTGACCGTTTTCATGAGGGGTAAACCTTGAAATTTGAAGAACTTAAAAGTCATTAAAAGACACTTTAGAAGTTTGGAATGCTCATTTCCCGCCAGCTAGGAATCAAAATTTTCCCGAGGAGAAACCAGACCCCACTTTCTCTTCGAGGTTCATCGATTCATTGAATCGTTTTCAAGAGGGGTAAAACCTAAACTTTTAATTACTTAAAAGCCATTAAAAGACACCTCAGAAGTCGGAAAAGCTAATTTCACACCAACTAGGAATAAAAAATTTCCCGAACTCTCGTTCTCTTTGGGGTTCATTAATTCATGAAAAAAAGAATACGTATGCAACTACCCATTTTTATTTTCTGTAATTAGACCTATACCGGTACACACATAACAGGCCTATTTACTAAGAATAAGAAAAATTTACCTGGCCATTTTCAAGAAGAGGGCATAAAACCTTGAATTTTGAAAAACTTAAAAGATTTACTTTTCAGAAGTGATTTGATTTGATCATCACTCCCTTTCTTTTTGGGTTAAAAAAATTGAGCTCGAACTCCCAGATGTGTATAAGAGACAGGAAACATATAAATATTATCATAATACGAATACTACTGTATATAGCGCACAATCCCAAAATAAGAAAAATTGCGAAGGTCAATGATATTTTAGAGGAAATTAAAGAAATAAAATGGTGATGGGCGTGACACCTTTCAAGACTAGAAGATAATACGGTAGATGGATTAAAAGAGTAACAAATTGGCAACCAAGGTCTGGAAAAAGAAGAGGACGGCAAAAAAGAAGATAGAGAGAGGACATTACCACATACATGGCAAACTGGGCAAGAATAGCATAAGACAGAAGGAGATGCAAAATGAATAGGGCTTCACATAGCAGTGGGTGAAATAGCCTGGTGATGATGATGACAATCTTTGGTCACGGTATCGAATTAAAGGGTTTCAGAATTAGAGGATGAGCTTAGTGTTACGAGATAGGTGATCAGCTGCTTAAAAAACTGGTCTCGAAAATGCAATAATAATAGAAAAAAGTTAAAAAACGCTGAGGGCGCTATCTATCCTTTTAGCGAAACAAAACAAAAATAAATCTAATGCAATGGATGTTCCTGTTCTTGTTAAACAACTAGAGCAACAGGAATTAGAGGTATTGTTTGATTATTTGAATGTAGCAAATTCAAAAAAAGTAAATACTAGACGAGTTAGTCCTAACGAGGTCTTGTCTATGGTGAATGTTATGCGAATAATAGCCTCTTTAGGTCCTAGCTAGCCTGGTCTCCTCCTGCTACCTATCACATGTTGGCAAGCTCCATTCCAAGCCCGAGAGAGGCGGCCTAGGCCTACGTACCTACATAGGCCTCTAGAATAGTATCAAAGACTATCGCCTAGCCTAGGACTGAAATCATTTGAGATATTTTAAAGGCGTACTGAAGCACACTTATAACGCCTGCCTAGCATACAACAACCAGTACGTACTGTGATGTATAATGCTATCACTTTATTTTTTGTAGTCTCCTGGGGGAGTGGCAACGCCAGAGGTTTATGCTAAACTTATGGTTCTTTATCTTCTTCAAAATGATCTGTAAGTATGTGCTGTCAGGCCTGAATGTATTTACAGTATTCTAAACAAGAACTTTGCATTGAACCATATCTACATTTTCCATATATTTAATCATGTTTTTAATTTAAATAAAGGAGACTGCAAGTGAAATATTGAAATGAATAATGTTTATGTCTCGATGGTAGTATAGAAAGTGAAATTCACTTTTAAAATACAAGCTTTATTTGGACAAATGACGAAGGCTTATATTAAAATTGATGTGTGATTAATCCTCACACTAAATTTTATTTTTTAAAAGCTTTCATCAGATTTAAAGTGCCAATAAACTCATTTTCTATTCACAGAAATAATGCAAGGTACTTGTGGAAAAGAATACCAGAATCAGTTAGGACAGTAAGTGAAGAAATAATAATTCTTGATCTGTTGATTAAATAGTGACAAATAAGCTGTAGAACAAAACTGAGTTTTGATATGTATAAAATGATAGTGTTTTGAGTTGTTTCTTGCTGTACGAATGATTAATTCAAATCATTATTTTCATATGACCACTGAATTATTTTGTTGAAGGCAAACCCTGATCTAGGCCAAATATGGGCAGTTGGACAAAAATTATGGCAGAGAGATTATGGCGGTGTTTACACACATCTTAATCATGATTGGTCAGAGAGTATTAAGGATGAAATGACAGAACTGACCAGTAAGTAAATGTCATTTATCATAACAATTTAATTATTACCTGTATTTCTTTCGCACAACAGAAAATATTGCTAGTTGGACCCTGCCGGAAAATTACTGGTACGATCGCTACTTGGTTTTGTCCAAACCTAGGACTCGACCCAGTTTGGGTTCCATAGAGGAAAATGGAAATGCTACAGTACTAGATATTCCTGGGCAGTGGGCATAGATGCATTTATATTATTTTAATCTGTAGCTGCAGGGCATATTCTTGAGTTATATGCATTTTTAAAATTGATAATTTATTTTATAGGTGTTATAAAACAACGAATGTTTAACCTTGTATGCCAAGCATACTCTTCCATAGAGGCCGACAGATTTGCATCAATGGTGGGAATGCCGGTAGAAAAAGCAATTCAAGGTAAAAAATTCAGATATTTCAATAATAACTGCAATACTCTATTTATAAATTTTGTAAATTTATGAGCACTTTTAATTAAAAAAATACTCTGAATTCCTACTCATTTGAATTTTAGTTTATTTACTAAACAAGGTCATAAAATTGTATAAAAACATACATACATATTGATTAAAAGATATACAATAGTCGCAATGGAACAGACTGTGGTTACAAGTAATACTAAGAAAAGTTACCTTATTTCCACTTGGGACAGTAAAACAATGAATTGCGCAAAAAGAAAAACAAAAAATCATGTCACTAGACACTAATATTTATGCACAGTATGCACCCTCCACTTGTCCGTTTGTAGGGAGGGAAAAAGGGGGTGTGGATTGGTGCTTCTGGTCATGAATGTAACATAGTACACTATACATTCAAGAGAACATTTCATGGCTACCATTCGCTTCACCCACTTTATTTCTTTGGTTTTTTTTTACAGCTGTGATTGCTGAAGGCTGGGAGTATAACGAGTCATTAAAAATGATATTACCCAAAGAGCAAAGTAAGTTATATTTATTTAAAGCCTGGTTTCCATAAAATCGCTGCACTCTCGCTACAGTATTTTCATTGCAATCTTTGTACTGCGTAGCAGTCCCCGATGCAATGGGAAGGCGTCCCGATTGGACCGACCAATCTGGATCACCGAATGTTCTTGTGTAGCGATTGCATGGAAACCAAGCTTTACATGTGTTAATTAATAAACCTCAATGTTTACTGCACTAGATACAGTAATGCGTCAATTACTATTATTTAATCCTTGATATTTTTATTATTTTTCAGCAATAAGGCAAGAGGTTCCCCTTCCCAGTGAGCAGCAAATTATTCAACTTACAGATTTTGTATCATTTCTTGAAAATTAAAAGAAATATGAAAAGAAGCACTGTTTAAACATTAACACTGGTGGCACTATGATTTGTCTGACCGGAGCATAAGTGGTTGAGGTCAGAGGCCACCTTAGAAAACCTATGGGTGAGGGTTAGGGGAGAAGCTGTTGGAAGCTTCAACAATTAAGGGTTTTGAAAGGCTTACTCAATTTTGGGATCCCATAATCTGTAAAAATTAGTCATTTTCCTCCATGATGGGGCCCTGCAAACTGGCACAACCACCTAAGATTTATAATACAGTAGGCAGTAGTGGTGTATTTTTTGTACAGGTATTTGGCAGCTGCAAAAAAATATGGCAGAGTTTAAACAAGACTTTCGCGAACATGCCAATAGTGTTTGCTAAATAAGGATTTATCAGCAAACAAAAACAAAAATATAAAAGAAAAGTTTAAAAAGTATGTGTTTTCATTAATTTTATTATGAAAAAACTTGTGAATACAATACAGTATTAAAATTTTCTGTTATACTCTACAACAATAATACCCCTTGTGTGGAATGTAATCATAAAAAGCGAAAAATAAAGTTACAGTAAAAATCATCTTGTTTGTCCCTTTTATATAATTCATTGATATTTTACTCAAAACTAACATCTTTATACTCTATAGATTAATATTTTGAATCTTAGCTTGTATTGTTATACTTCTACTTACACATACTATATTACAAACCATACATTATTTTCAAAACTGAACACTAAAGAAAGCAGGTTTTCAGTAAACTTTGTTTCAATCAATCAATTTATTCATCAACTTTCGGCCATTGGCCCTTGTATACATAAAGAATAATAAATAGTGAACAATGTGGAATATTAAAAATGGTTAACTGTAAAAGATTACCTATCTCCGTTCTCTTAAATTCATGATGTAAATAGATGCATATTTTTTGTAATACTAGTGGACTGTGCGAGCTCATTAAAGAAATAGTTATATTGTGTATGGAAACGAACATAATATCGTGGGATGTATTATTCTCTTAAATCACTGTATAATTTAAATTTGAGAAGAAAATGTAATTGTTCTTCAAAATCCCCATTACAAAAGCAAAATTCTATCTTCAAATTTAATATTTAACTGTCTACCTTCCTTGATTTTTAAGTTGTGGCTAGAAATGTGGAACAAAGTAAAGATCGTTTTGAAATATCGATTTAAATTAGGAGGTAGTTTTCAAAAGCAATACAATATTTGAATAAACAGTAACTTTTTAGCCCCCATTCATTCAATATCTAAAGAACGTTGTTTAACAAGATTTAAAAAAAAACAAACATCACCACCAACACCTTGGTTAAGCCATGCTTCCCCGAACCCATAATGGAATAGAAGTGAACGAACTGCGTTAGCCCAACTGTTTTTATTACAGTAGTCTATTTCTGTCAATTTTTTTAATTCGTAACCAATACTTAACAAGTTTATATATTCTACTGGCTCGTACACTATATCTTCCTAACTCGCCTCTTACAGCCAGATTAACAGACTTTGTTTTCATTGTTTGAAATTAGAATACAGTACTGTAATCTATTTTCCAGATTTGTTCTTGAAGTTGTACATTTAGAGATTCTTGCAAAAAAGGACAGCTTTTCATGTAACTCAGTACGCTGATTTATAATCAGAGAAATGCCAAATAGGATGATGTAGCATGGTTGCCATGAATTAAATTTTAGAGACCTTTATTAATAAGCTTTACCATTTTTGAAAATGAAAAACAGATTACCTTTTGAATGGAATACATTTGAAACTGGATTTTAAAATATTTGGCTAACATTTATTGCAATTAATTTAAGGTCTTCATAATTGTTCAGAGAAAGCCGACTATTTTTAAATATCATTTGCATTTGCATCATATCCTAAATTGCTCTAGTCTATTAGCTCGACCTTAGGGTTGGCCAATATTATACACATAGTACGTACAAATAATAATTTTTATGTAAATTGTGAATACTAGTAGATTTGGAAAAATGCTAGAGATGAATAAAGTGGAAGGGCTGACCTACATATAGAGGGCAGTACATAGCAGATCTTAGGGAGCTTTTGATTGCACAACAATGTTTTCACATGGATTCTAGGAGGTAATTTGGCCAAATCTTTGTTGTGCAGAAAACGTAGGACGGTCACACATGAGTGAATCTGTTCTAGCATCACGTCATCGCAATGTGGATACAGAAAATTCTACAAAAAGCATAATCTCTTGTTAGGCTTGATATTCCCTTGTGATTGTCAAATCAATTTTCTTTGCAGGATATAAGAATAGTTAGAATACCAACTTAAGAAAGGTCGGGCTTAATTGTTAGAGGGTCAGTCTTTGGTTTAATCACTAACATGTACTACTGCTGGATGAGAAAAACGTAACATATTACAGTATAAAATATATTTGTACTTCAAAGAACTGCTGTTGTCCTACTTTTGCATATATACCTTATTTGAATATAGTGTATATGACATTTATATTAGTTTTACGTTTTAATTTCACTGTACATTCATATTAAATTCATTGGACTACTTATACATTATTGAAATATGATTTTGCAATAATTTAGTTAAATGTTTAAATATTATTGTATTTGTATCTTATATTTTAAATAATTTGTTTGCTGCGGATATCAGTGGTTTAGATGAAGGTTTTTGCGCTACAAGTATCTTTTTTCCCCATATCATTTCCCTTTATAAATTTCTTATTATTTACTTGAATAAATAATATACATATCTTTTTCACTTTTCCCATATTAACATATATTCTATAAAGTATTTCTTTAAATATGAAGTATATATTCTTATGCATTCTTAAGTATTATTTTTACATCAAATGGATAATTAACCATGTCGTTTAACCCCATTCTGAATAGCTGTGTGTGCTGCCATGCAACATCACCTTTGCCGCCACTCATGTCCGCTTTCAGGGTAACCTCTGTAGCGCCCTCTAGTTCAGATATTCTTGCAATCTCTCCATCTGAAAAATTCATAATTGTCAACATTTTTAATTTTGTATGAATGAAACATTTATTTGTATGGCAATTTTATTGTGGTACTGTGGTTATATATATTAGCACATCCTTTTTAAATTGTTCATAAATGACATTAGGATTTGCATATGATACTAATATGCACAACAATCATTTTAAAAAATTCTGATAAACTCATTTGCTTTAAATGAAGCAATAAGTATAACATACCTCCTTTAAGCTTTAGAGTTTTTTGATCATCACATATTGTCCAGATGATCCTACCAGACTCATATGTTTTACTTGATACCTTAATGTCAACATGGTCTACCACTAAACCTGTGTTTGCCGCATCAAATTTCCAGGTGATAAAGGCTTCTTGACTGCCTTCAACTCTGGCTAAATACACCTGTAAAAAAGCAATAGACAATTTTTATGGGTTATCATTTCCTTAAAAAAATATTAATGTCCTATTTCACCAAATGGTTAATTATCTAATTACTGTCTTTTTATTATATACTTTATATTATTATTGTTACTAAATATTGTGACAATTTTGAAGGCTTGCATTTAATTTTCCAATGACCAATTATCTTATTTTGCCCTATAATTTATCATCACTTATAATGTCACCTTGTGCTAAATATGGACAATTTTGTAGACTTTTCATTCATTTCAGATTTATTTGACAGTAAATTATCTTATTTAATCATTATCTGTATAATTGTCGGTTTTTAATGTGATGGTAACTTTAATTTAATCGACATTTTGTCACACACTGAAGAGTCCTATAGCACCATATGCAAGTCTTTATTAATAAATAATCACCATTTTTCTTACCATCTTCCAATCAAACTCCTCCTTTAAGATGACATTACTCATAGTAAACACCCCACTTTCCCAGTCTTCCAACACGCTGTTGCCACTGGAAACCCGCTGGTAGGTATTACTTGAAGGTGAATATTGCACATGGATTGTCTTGCTTCCTTTTTCAATCTCTGTAAGTTGAAATTTATAACCTGTGCCTTCCTAGAGTGGGGAAAATAAGAAAGTTATTTATAATTACATTTTTTGTTTATTCAGTACTTAGTGCAGAGGCTCCTCACAAAGAGGACAAAAAAACAAAAAAGAGTATGAAAAAAAAAAAAAAAAATCAAAATACACAAAAGAGCAATGAATATTTGTGGTACGGCCGGTGATGAGTACAATACAAGTTTTTATTCTGAAGAGAACTCTTCTGGTTGTGTGAACGTCCTATTTATCTTCCAAAAATATACATGAACATGCCCAACAGGGTTCACTCGGGGCACCAAAAATGTGAGTTCACGTCCACCTATTGTATTGCATGTGAATTCACTGGCAGTGGTCGTCAGAGTGTGAACTCTCGTCCTGGAGGTTCAGAGAACACGGAAGTAAGGATCTAAAAATAAATACCATATGTTTGTTTTTGTTTTATTACAGTTAATGAGAATAGTTTTCATTATAGTGGCACCCTGTATGCCTTGGTGTATGGGTTTAAACTAGGAAAAAAGGTTCGGCAGTTAATGAGTTAAAAGTTAAAATGCTATTGGGAAAGAAATGTATGTCTTATCGAAACTTAAAAACAAACTCATGTTGTACTAATGTATTTTATTTATGATCTATGAAAGCTTACCATTATGGAGGTGCCAACTCCCTGTGCTGCATCACCTGTCTCCCCTCTGGAAGTCCTCCAGGCTAGTGACCCAGAGATCCTTCCTTGGCCTTCTCCATCTTGAACTTTCTTAGGTGCTATGAACTCCGCAAGTTCTAATGCAAACCTCTCTTCCAGAACTGCTTTTCGAAATGAAGATATACTGCGCTGTCGCTAAAGCACACAAAAGAAATACTTACCATGTTAAGTAAAAAATAGAGATCTATGTGTGAAAAAAGTTTTAGAGATAAAATTGACATCTCAACAAGCACAACAACTATAAATAATATACTGCCCTCTGTATTAGAGATTGCGACGTGGAGGAACAACCAACAAATACCTGTAGGTTCAACTTTGCCAGTTTGTCCATCAGTACCTCTTGACGGCATAGTGTTCTCCGCCTAAGGACTTCATCATGCTTTGAAGAATACCGCCATGTCACGTCTACAACCTGGAATTGACAACAAAAAAAAATCTTACAACCTGCCCTCTAGTGCCAACAGTTTTATTAGTTCAAAAAAGCAATCGAGCTCTAGTTGGGTTTTTCAAGACCCTTGTCTTAAGATGAAAATTGCATGCCTCTTGATATTGGTAATGCCTTTTGTAGGATAACAAAATCACAAATACACCGTTTGCAAAATATGGCAGCTAGGGTCATAACTTACACCCAGTCAAATGCTCACATAACTCCAGTTTTGATGGACTTGCACTGCTTGCCTATGCAACAAAGGATTAAGTTGTTTGTCATCAAAATTTTGAATGACAGCACTCCTGCATACTATACACTATTTATTTATTTATTTATTGATGTTTTCTCCAGTTATTAAATGCACAAAGCACCATGAGCGCCACACTGGATGGAGAGCACCAGCGCTATACAAGTTTTCATTTATTATTATTATTATTATTTAAGTGTATATACTGCTAGGTTTGAACAAATCTTATAAGTTTATAAAGTTTTTTGACATGTTTTTTTTTTTTCTGTTTTGTATATTTATGTTTGTATGTACATCTGAGATATTAAATCAAATCAAATCAAAAATATCTATGTTTAGTATTTCTCAAAAATCTTCACATGATTATTTATAGGAAATATATACAAATACATCATCCACCTTCCTTCCCTAAGTATACAATCAATCAATCATTTGAATTAATAGACTGGACAATTCCAACAGTCAGTACTCAATAATTGACAGCAAATCCACTACAATCATATTTGTTTATCGATTCTTACCTCTTCGCATGAGAATGCTATAACATATGATAACTTCTTGCCCCATCCATGTTCATAAAGCAAAGGTTTATCACAGGTGTTTTCACATGCATCGCAATGCATCCAACGTTTCTGAGAATTTGAATAAACTTCTGTCCACACATGGTCTGTTGATTATATATAAGATGATCAAAAAACACATAAAAAATATTATAAAAAAGTTATCTAAACAGTAAGGAGGGTTTGTTACATTTTTAATGGAATTTCTGCAGGTATACCAGGCTAAAATTGGCTCAAGGTTAGAAATAATGTGGAGAAATGATGAAGTGAGCACCATCTGTCGGAGAACTTGAAGCTTTCTTCAGAAACTCTTGGCGGCCACCACTGCCCTGAATAATGAAATGTCAAATGAAATTAAAGCATCACCTGTCCAATCGAGAACATATCTTGCTTCAAAGCCAGCAGCTCTACAACACAGGGTGAAGCAATTAGCCCACTCCCCACAACGCCCAGTCCTCGTCTCAAGCAGCTTACCTGGATGATTATATCTGTACAGTTAAATAAAAAAAATATATGGTAATAAGAATGATGTACTCATCATGTAAACTCATGTTCACCATCATTAATATATTTCTGTAAAGACACTGGAATATATTTCTGTAAAGACACTAGTCTTTAGTAAAACCAGGCAAAACTTATTGAATTTACTTTATATAATGGATTACAATTTTATACTCATCATGATGCATGCACTTAAATATGGTCACAGCATCACAACCATATATAAACACATCATAACTATATATGGGCATACAAAAGTTGTGCTGTTCACATTGGACTTTTCTGTTCTGGAAAAAAAGATTGTTCTTTCTGCATAACATTCACTTGGTTATACTTACCCTGCATCTTGGGTAACAGATCATGAACAAAGTTAAGCAGGATGTTCACAATGAATCATTTTGGGTCGAACCAGGGGTTTAGCCAGAAAAACGACAGCCGAGGGACGTGGCCCCGAGCAGGGGTAAGAAAAAATTACAAAATCATGACCTTTAGAGTTCATTTAAAGGTTTTTAAATGTTGGAATTTGTCTTCAAAGGAATTGTGTTGAATTAGCTATCACAAAGATATTTCAGTTATAGACATAGATTGCGCACAGTTAAGGTTGTTTCTCACATAATTTTTCCAGGCTATGCAGATACATCTTCATCTCTCGCCCTAGTCTAGTGTAAATTCTACTCTAGGTCCTCCAAATCAAGAGATGCATAAGCCTAGCCCTACTATTTCTTGTTGACTATTAAAATTTAACTTTATTCTACTTTACGGTATTTTATGAACTAATTATAACCAGGGAGTTACGAACAAGAATATCTCAGGGAACAGAATCTCAAGTACTGTATTTTCAGAGCAACGTGCATGCGTTGAGGGCGACTTAGAACCTTCCATTTTCCAGCGGGGCATGAATGTTTTTAACACAACATACAGTAGTTATGCGTGTTGGAGTGAAATTTTTACCGGATAGACGATGATTTAGCCATTCCTTTTGGGAATCCTCACCAAATGTCAGTATGAAAACAACGTAAATTCAATCAATAAAGGTTGTTTTATTTAGCTTTAGTTTAATGCAACATTAGATAGATTCAAAGAATATAGAGAATTTGTTAAAGGTAGACCAGGCCTGAACAAGGATAGGCCGAGCTGAGTAGCCAAGCCATCACTGTAAAAGTGGCCGTCCTAAATAACTGGACGGCCAGTCGGCTCGCTGGCTACGCTCTTGGGTGGAACTGACCTTGTCCATGGTTAGTTTTGACCAAGAAGAGTCCAATCTAATCAGGGCTCTAGATTATGGAGCTTCATATAAATCTATCATGTTGAGAGTACACTTCTTAATTGTTAAATATGAAAAGAAAAAAAGAGAGCAATAATCAGTCTGAAACAAATTAATATATATATGTTACCTGGGAAACCTTGTGATGGCTGTACATACTGTACACCTGTACACCTCTACTGTTTGCGCACCCCACATGAGGTCCTCAGATGTTGGTACTTGTCCACCAGCTGCCTGTGTGGATGCCTGACAATTCCGACATGGTGGAGCGTCCATCCACTGGAAAAAGCTACTTTTAAACCATCTTAGTAATTCCAATATTAGATAATCTTGTAAATCCAAAGGCTGGTTATCTGTTACATTAATGAACAAGAGATTGTGTGTATAAATTCTTGTGTTATATGTAATCTTTTAAATATAAATGTGCTTTAGGCAAGATTTTCTTAATATGCTAAAACCTTTTTTGTGAACTTCTTTTCGAAAACAATTTCAGGAAGGTTGGAAAAAATTAAAGAAAAGTGTTTTATTTCTTATTTCAAAGCAAAATGGTTGTACCAAAGGCACTTTGGCAGAGAATCTATTAATTTTTTTAATGAATAAAAACATGTACAGTAAGTGTAAAAGGTAACAAAAAAATTACCAAGGCTATGTTCTCACACGGCTGCTAACGGTTAGCAGGTTCCGGATCCAATAGCTGCCGTGCGTCCCAACGAGAAAATCCTGATCCGGATACCAAAAATATGATGATCGAATTACTGGCCAATAAGAAACTGGAAATTGTAAACGCGTACGTGTGATTGGTTGATGACAGAAACACACTCAACTTGCTAACCGCTAGCACTTGCTAACTGTTAGCGGTATCTGGATACCGCTAACAGTTAGCGCTGACCAATTGGGCGTTCTCACGCAGGTAGCGCTAACGGTTAGCTCCCGATCCGCATACTAGGGCTCTCATGAGAACCAGGCTCAAATTTGATAACGACAAGACTATTACATTACTTACTTGAAGATCCTTGGTTCGATCTTTGCAGCTTTCTTTGGGCTTTCTGTTTAAGTTCACTAAGGGGCATAACCTGAAGTGCTTTCTGTTGCAACATCACCTCTTCATACACCATCACATGATCATATGTGCCATGGACCTTCATCAGAAAGGCCCGCTCATCTGACTGGAAATTAATTATAAACAATGACAATAATAATATTAATGACTTGGTCTAGGGCTTAAAGGGAAGTCTTGATGCACTCTACTGAGAAGAAAAACATTAAATAAGTAAATAGCAATATGATGTGTGCTATTCATCTTCACTTCAAAAGCCAAACATGTAGACACATAATTCACAGGATGAACATGTCAACCTAGTACCACCAGCATGCAGAAACAGAAAAGAAGATTAAATTGTCAAAAAAAGGTTTTAAAAGTTCAGCGATAATAAATCAACGGGCATCTAGAGCTGCCTATCAGTTATACTATAATTTAATTAATATTTTAATATATATTTACTAACTCAATACTTACAGGTGATGGTGTACTCATGCCTTTTAGAGCATGCTCAGAAAGGACCTTAAGGCGAGCACTAGCTAAAAGTCTCTGCACTTCACGTACAATGGACAAAGAACTGGTCTCTGGAAATCGAAGATATTCATCATCCTGTTTAAAAAAAAAAAGGTTACTTAGTTGGTAGAAAGCCTATAGATTCACACAGTATGTATGTGATGATAAATGAGGGCGATATGCAGATTTGAGTTGCAAACCAGTGGAGGATTCAAAAGGGGGCCCCGGCGCTTAAATTTATCAATTACACTATAAAGAAAATGGAGAAAATTATATTCAAATCGAAGTCTGAGTGCCATTTCTGGCCATCTAAAGGGGCCATAATCATAAATGTTCTTATCTCAGTCCCATTCCTAGTGGGGCTCTGTCACGTGTGAGCGACAATGTTTCCAAAAGGAATTGTTCCTCGTCTGTGAAAGTCCTTCCTTGGGCCCCCTCTATTTCAAATTCCTAAAAAATGTATACACTTTCTAAAAATAAATACACAAACACAATTCTAAAAATAGGAGAGAATCCAACCACCCATGTGTTGACCAATCAGTGGACAAATATAATTATAATTATTGTGCTATTGAAGGTATTTATACTTTTATAGTGACATTTTTGTTTAGTTCTTGAACTATTAAGTACATAAAATCAACATCAGGGACATTACCCCCTCCCCAACGTCAGACCCCGGTGAGTGAGCCATTTGAACCAGTGCAGATATTACAGCTAAAGTTTACAGCGCCCCTGACTTAACTGCTTGGCCAACCAACTCGCATCTATTTTTTTTATTCTTACTGTATTTTCCTATTTATAACAAAGTAATGACCATATAGATTCTAAACCTGTTTGTACAAGTAGGCCTTGTACAATAATAGTTAAAAATACCGGAATATAAAATACCGGAATATTAAAAACCATATTTTTTCCCAAAAATTCAATGTTGTTAGTGGACATGGACCAGGGGTTGCATTTATATATTCACTTGTGATGTACAATAATTGGAAAATTATTTATTAAATGATTTACTTTTTTATTACTATTTGCTATAAATTTCATTTTTTCACACCAGCAAAATGTAATGGTTCTGCCGGCCATCTATTAATAACCAGGGTGATATAAACCTAGACAAAGGTCTACATAAAATAAACATACAGTAGACAAACCTACTTGTTATATACAGTATACATAATTTTCTGATAATTTATTATATTATAGGTCAATTTTTAAAAATGTGAATTACTTTACACTATGGTAGTAAATTCAGATTAGTGACATTGCATTTCAGGTGAGCGGTACAAATTAACTTTTTACCCCCGAATAATATCTACTTACTTCTTCAAAGCCCATAACAAGCAGGCATTCGACTCCACCAATTGAAGGCAACATTCGCTCAGTGAAGGCTTTTTTCCCCAGAGGAATGTTAGCATATTTGGCAACTTTAGGATATCTGTAGAAAATGGAAAAATACAAATTCAGTAAACTTCCTCCTCTTCTAAGAGGGTCACTTTGTGTCTGTGCTACTTGGTAAACCAGTATCAACTACTTTTGTCTGTCCACAGCACTGAATGGACCCATACACTAGGTTAACCCCTACTCATCTCGAAAGATGTACTGGGTTATTTAAAGCAGCGTTCCGCAAACTTTTTACTTTACAGCCTATTTACGATTCCAGGCACCAAGCTGCGGCCCAGCAGCCCAGCCGCGCCAGGGACCAACATAACAAATCTTGGCAAGAACTTTTGATCATGAAGCCTCCATGTATACAATATTTTGACATCATTATCTGTTCTCTCAGTGATAAAATTATATTGTATACAAATTAAATATTATTTTATTAAATAAATAATACCGTACATTTGTGTTCCCCACTATCCCCCACCCCTGACAATCGTTGATTGTTTTTTCTTTCTACCATGATTCAACCAAACACGGTTCAGCCACACACGTCATAGTAGGGCCGTAGCCACGAGAAGTGAAATGGTCAGGTTGCGAGCGAAGCATGAGCACTGATGATTGGGGCCGGCAAGGGCCCCAGGTCGGGGCTCAGGGTTCCGGGGCCATTAAACTGTAATATTATTGTAAACCAGTAAACTGTATTATTATTACATTGAACACATTAAACTGTAATATAATTAACTAAGACCAATCAACACATAACATAAAACATGTACATATCAAAATTATTATGTTTAATCTTTCCTTGTCGGTGCTTGCATAAAACGTGATTTGGATCTAACATGATGATATTGATAACAATCGAAATTCTCTGTACAATATTATACTAAACATTTACAGAGTGGACTTCCTTATGTTGTGGTCATATTAGAGTGTAATATTATTATTAAAGAAGTCCATTCAACAAACAACATAAAACATATACATATCAAAGTTATTAGGTTAAAGTTCTCATGTCGGTGCATGCATAAAACATAATTTCCTAAAATTTGGATATATATGAGATTGACAGACAAAATTCTGTATACTATACATACTATTTTAACGAGTGGACTTCCTTGATTTAAGGAAATATATGTGTATATTGAGATACGCAAAGTTTAGCAGGTTAGAAGTTTAAAGGAGAGGGCTTCCTTATGTTGTGGTCATATTAGACTGTAATAATATCATTAAAAACCATTCAGCATAAAACATATCAAAATTATTAAGTTAAACCTTTCTACTTCGGTGTATGAATCTCAATGGGATATATGAGATTTACATAACATTTGAGAATGTACTGAATATAAAATCTTAAATATTTTACATTTTAATCAGCAATCTATCAGAAATACAGGCATTGGTTATACTGTAAAGCCTTCAGAGCCCCTGCAATACTAAATACATAACAGGAAGTAAATATTCCATTTTGATTTAGTGTAGATGTTTTTTTTACATATTTTTAATTTTATTTGAATTCTTTTTATTTTGTATGATTCATGTTATATTTTCCACACAGATAAATGAATGCCCGAACTGATATTTTATGGGTTTCAGATTACTTCTATACAAAACAGATATCATAAATCATCTATTGTCCGACTGCGTGCATTGAACATTTGACTATGACGATAATGTCTCAGAATTCCCAACCGTAACTTAGGCTACGGGCCTCGCTTGACACTTCACATCAAAGGGCCTGTTAATTAATCTTGCACAGCTTCCTCCTCATCATTATCATCTTCTTCATCATCATAATTATTAATTGTCCATTGCAAAGTAGGGAAAAACTATGAATTCAAAGTGTATTCAATAATAGACGTCTCATAGTGCACAAATTGTATTTCAAAGAATCTACAAAACAAACACTTTTCGAATATCTAAAATTTAACTTCCAGCAACAAAACAAGCTAGCTCTCTTCTCATGACTCTCCCAATATGGGACCTGATCTGTGCGATAGCCAGGGTAAACTTTGGATCCGCGCTTGACATGTATTTAATGCTTAAAAAAGTTATATTTATAGAAAATAATGTTGCATACTAGAAGTATCAGGAATAAATATACAGATAAAGGCTCCACATACTAAATTCCATTGTATCAACTTCAAGATCATGTTTCAATCATGAATATATCACCGTAAATGGAAGAAAGAGAATATAGTAGAAATATATGTTAGTGGAAAAATAGCAAAACAAAAATACTTAGGTCTATGATAAACCGATTCACAAACTAATTATAATAATATATAGGGACTAGGCATATTAAATTTTTCTTTTTCGCAATTCCTTCGGCGCTCCATATATTTGTTCGAAATAAACCGCGACCGAAATGAGGCGCGACCGAAACGAAGCGCGACCGAAATGATCGGCTACCGCCCTAGCTAGGAAGGATATAATTCTGGCTGTCCCAAATAATTTTGAACAATCTAGCTATAAATATACCATGGCCAGAGTAGATGGGCCAGAGTTTAAAACGTCGCGTTTATATAGTGCCTAGCCTAGGAGTAGTAGCTATCTAGGTCTAAAGCCCCCGGCCCTGGCCATAGCCTCTAGTAGGCCTAGGGCGCCTGCATAAGGAGCAAAACCAAAAAGGAGTTAGGGCCTAGAGGACTAGGCCTAGGCCTAAGAGTATTTAGCTACTTGACCGAAGAATTTTATAAGATGCTACGACATGTAAATGTCACGGCGTCATACCGTATTAGGTTATTAGCAAATCGTAATAATAAATTTGAAACATCCAAAAAGACAGACGTTTCGTTCTCAAGTAACTGCCGAATATTGTCTTGTACCAAAGTTGCCATTTTGTAGCTTTCGGAGCGCACACCGCCCTCAACATCTATATCTCGGGAAAACTTTTCTTATATATGCATGCTGTGTAAATGTACTACACTTGGCTTGTCCGCATCTTTTTTTTTTCTTTTGGTAGATTCATTTCATAACAACCACCATGTTACCAAATTAGAAATCCACTCACATGGACCATTTTTACTTAACAAGGGTTTTTATACTTACTTTTAGCCAGTATTATAATCTCACAATGAAATTACATGTTCCTGGAATCAAGACATCCTACACATTTTTAAAATCTACCGAATCAACTTGCTAGTTTCTTAAAAAAACAAAATTCACAGTTCCAAGTCTACAAACTTTTATGATTAATGCTTTAAAATTACCAATAAGTGGATAGGAAAAATACTGTATATACTGATCTTTATTACCAGTATTTATGGCCGCCCTACATGCAAATGCCAGATTGGTTGACGCACAGTGGTTGCAGTTTGGGTCTTCTCATGTACCGTCAAGAGTTTGAACCAACGCATTTCGCATAATGTGTCCTTACGCACGGCAATTACACTGAACTTGTCTCTCTCTCTCTCTTCCTCCAGCAGCATACTGTACCTGGTAAGATTCCGTGGCAATGAATGTACTTTATTTGTTTGTATGCACCAGATTGCAGTATGACTAGGTAGACTTATATTTTTTACACTTAACTATATAGTACAGATACATTAACAAAACACAATTTTTTCATTTAATCTTGTTATTCTGAATAACATCAGTTTTAATAAGACAATAGTTAGAAACAATTATTTAACAAAATGATAGTTGATGTACTAATTAATTATACATTGAAAAGATAGTAACTAAATACTGCTTTCAGTGTATTTGCATCGGTATTGTTAGCCTTCTCACTTAGTTGATTATCAATGCATAGGTTCTAAAAATGCACAACTAAGAGCATAACTAAAAAATTTCTCCTTGGTTTGGCACTTATTAAAGAGGAATGTTACAAGGGGATAATCTAAAAATAAATTAAGGATGAATTTCCATCCAGATGAATATGTCCCATGATGTCTGCTAGCTCAATCACAGCCAACCATTTTGTATTAAAGCTCTGGATGTTTATAATTCATCATGATGTGTCGGATTAATCAGACTCACACATTCATAATTATTGCTTAAACATCTGCAACTATCATTTTAAAGAATTTCTCATTTGCATATACTGTATACATTGTCAAATGGAATTAATTATTCGTTCAGCTGTCTTGCGTGCATTATAGATGCAATCATTCACACTGACGCCATAGTAAGACGATCCAACCAAGGATAGCGGCAGATTCCTTTCTTCTATATAAGATTCAAGATTTTCTGAAAACAAACATACTCATTAATCAATCATAAAAGATTTTTTTTTTTATTTAGTTGTCTAAACACATTGACTGCCAAGCATTTTTTCCTAGTTTCATCCCAAGGCATAAAGTGAGCCACCAAAGTGAAAATAATTTCCATCAACTGTAATGAAACACAAACAAACATACAGTATTTATTTTTTAAATTGTTACATCCCCGGTTCTTTCCTGACCCACAAGGGAGAGAGTTCACTATCTAATGACCACTGCCAGCGAGTTTACATGCAGTACAATATTGGTATTTTCCGAATAAAATTTATCATTCATTACGGGATTGGAGGTTATACCTTGTGAAGCTGGTCACACACTGTGCCAATTATTATCGATTGACGCAATTCCATAGGTCACACTGTCTGCCGGCCTTAGACTTTTTAAATATTCAGCAACAATATGAGCATTAAAGTGGGCAAAACAGCATGCAAAAATGCCTACCTAATGTTTTGAAATGTCCTGGTCGATATGAGGTAATGCATTTGTGTTGAACTCTGACTGCAGTATTCTCTGGCTCCTGAACAATCCCAAGATGCTCTCGGATGGTTTCCTTAGCAACAGCCAATAGATGATCATGATCAACGGAATGTGGATCACCAAAATATTCCTGAAACCAACTGCCACCCATCATACACTGCAAAAACAAGTGTGGATTTACAAAGTAGGCGGGATTTTTTTATTCGTGAACCCATCTATTAACAATGATTTCAAATTTTATATTTGACCTGTAAAGCCCTGTCAAGACTACAGTTAAACTTGCCAAAGTCGAATTTGCCTAACAAATAATTTTTAAGTCGATCATGTGTTTTCCATTAAATAACGATTTGTAAGTCAAACAATTTTTCAAGGCCATTTTGGATTCGACTTAGGCAAGTTCAACTGTATCGAAATTTATTTGAAAAAAAAAACCACTTGTGTATTACCATATATGATCATGATGTGCCTACTGTATATGGTCATGATATGATGTCATTATGACCATATTTAGGCACGGCACATGTTTTTGTCAAATAAAAAATTTGATACTCTGAACAGGCCTTTAGTGCACCTATTGCAGCAACAAAATCTGTTTCTCCTTTTTGTCACACATTATCTATTTTTGGGGCTACCTCGTTTTAAAGGTTTATAATCTCAAATAAAATTATCAAACATTATTACATGCAATGGTCATCTGTGTGTACCTACAGTATGCCTGGCCAAGCCCACTGTATGTGACGGCCATATTTTTTTAGAGAAAAAAAAGATAAAGGACTATGCAAAGTCATACATTCATACTTGGCCCTAGACATAAGAGCACACCCATGGCCTTACACATACCTGTACTTATATAATTATTCCAGGCATTAATCAAAAGTGCACACCACAGGCCCTAATCGTTAATTGCAATACACAACTAGAACACCAATTACAACAATGTAGTTTCTATCTCACTTAACCTACAGAAAAGTATACACAAACATTTCCACTCACTGGGGAGTATTCACTATCATTTCAAGTTCTTATTAAACTTCTGGGTAGAGAGAATTCGTAATATGTAAAGATTTTCAAAACCATGAAACACCAAACAAAGGCTCTTACCGTTAATCGAGTTGATGCCGATTCTTGCCGATCATTGTCTGGAAAACTACACGAGTCAAATACCACACCTAGAAGTTTACATTTCTGATTTGATGGAATAAGATATCCAAAACCCTATTTAAAAGGAAAACAGTAAATTAAAAATTATATCATTATTCTTAAAATAAATCAATATTCTAGTCATTTTAATCGAATTTTTAATCCATGTTTATATTTTTAATTAATTATAATATTTTAATATACAGGTATTGTAAACATTTTAAAATATTGTAAATTAATATATTCATATTTTAAACAAATTTTCTTTAAGATTTAAAATTAACATTAATATCTATACTACAACTTCCTCATCAGAATTCATTTACCTGCTTGTCTAAAACATTGCCAGAATATTCCAAGTTAACAACAGCAACATCAACAGCATCCAATGATGACAACACATTAGTAAATGTGGAGTGACACTCTGGCAACAAAGCTGCAAGAGCTGAGGAAAACGAGTAAAAAATCCACATTAAAAAATGTATGGTAATTTAGATTTAATGAGTGTATCAAATTGAACAAGCTGTTATGTTCCGGATGATGACATAATTAATGTCGAAATATTGAATCCTGACACGATGGCGTGCATTTCGATACGTGGAGTATGTATTATACTATCTTATCCAAGATTAATCAGTGGACTTTTCGGTTTCTGTTATGTTATGTTATGTAATTTGCGAAATATAAATGTATGGTAATAGTATTAATAACAATACAAAAAGTCAATGGTGATATTCTTCAAATTATCTTTCTAATTATTTCATTGTAAAATAAAGTATCGCAGTTGAAAATATTTGTTAGACAATAGCCTGTAAAACTGATGACTCCTGTGGCAAAAACATAATTGAACTACATTTTGCAATTTACAAAATAATTAGTTTGTTTTTAAGATTTTTTAAATGGCAGATAATTAAAACTTCACCTTGTGATGATACAGCACCTATCACATGATCTGCTTCTATGTTGGCACCTGAACTTGTTCTTATGTTAGCTACCTGAAGAAAGAAATCCAAATAAAGCATACAATATAACATTATCAGTGGCGTATCTAAAAGTCTTGGGGGCTCAATGATCAGTTGAGGGACTCTAATTCGCAAAATAAGGTGATTTTAGGTGATTTTTAACTACTTGACTGTGATTTTTTTGGGGGGAAGGGGGGGGTGCGGCACGAGTAATTTTTGAAGGGCAAGTATGCACTGAAAATGTATAACATTCTATTCATAAACATAATTACTTAATTGAATAATATATACTTAATTTACCATTTTACCAGCATTCGTTTGGTTAAATTCTATTGATGTGCAAGCTGTTGAAGTAGTTACATTCACTCCCTCATTTTTCAGAGTTTGGTGCATTTTATCAGGCAGCCTTTGAAGACCACCTCTTAAAGTCCAGTTAGACCATCCTTCCTCTTGAGCTCTCTTTATTAAGTGGCACTTTTCAATACCTTCATCAATATCTACTTAGAGAAATCATAAAATGGGATAAATGTCTAAAGTAGTTGTAGTGCACCACGTCAGAAGAACACTGAACATGGTGACACAAGATTTTGTACTGGTACAAAAAACTGAACAGTAAAGTAGTTTTTATTTTTCTTCACACTGACAGTACAGCATAATTCCATTTTTTATAGTATATTTTTTAATTTAAGTTTCTTGGAAGTACTAATATTGTACCTGCAGAAGGAAAGAGATTTGCAAGTACGACTGAGCCACGAGACTGTTCCGCATCAAATAGCAGTGGTAAACAGGATCTTACGCTAAGGTTACGACAATCTGCAGCAAATATTCCAATACAAAAAGCATCAACTAAATAATCTGCAATCTATTCCACAGGGAAAAAAAAAACCAAATATACATGTAAAAAGCAATCGAAAACATAACAGAAAAAATGTCTACAAAATTATGGAACAATTTTAACACTAATAATAAGTAGTAAATAAAGGTTACAGCATTAATCATCACCAAACCTAAAATAAAAATAAAAAGTTATTCTTTTAATTGAGAATTATTTGATTGAGTTTGAGGAAAATATTTATTTGACATGTTTGTACAACTGACTTTTCTAAAACACAAAAAAAACCCCATAATTGACGAAAAACTCAGGAGCGGTTAGTGAGATACAGATTATTTAAAAACTGGGGAAAAAGGTTGAAAAAATAGTGGTTATGCCCCTTTTTCTCCCCAGTTTTTAAATATTGAAAAATCTGTATCTCATTCACCCTTCTCGAGTTTTTTTGTAAAAATATGCTTTTTGTGTCTTAGAAAAATCAGTTGTACAACACATCAAACCTATTTTTTTCCCCAGAGCCTGTGTTTCCTTGAAAAAACTTTTGGTCTGTTGAAATGACAAAAAAAAAAAAAATCTACGTAAAGCTTGGGTCGCCAAAACATTTCTGAGGGTCACACGATTGAGTTCTGACCTAAAAAAAGACAGACTATTGTATAAGTGCATTTTGAAATACAGTGGAAAAAATTCTACATTCGTCCTACAAAGGACTTAACTCAAGGGATATATCCAGATGTAGTTATGAAGATGAAAGCTAGAAATTCATTGTCAACCCAAAACCTAGAATCTACTCTCCTGGTTCCACTGTAACCAATCTCCCCAAGGATAATAATAAATTCACTAAAATTAGGCAGGAAGATAGACGTACCAGTTAATAAATACAAGTTACATAGTTAAGATGATGAGATGCTTTTTTTCTTTTTGAGTCCGTTTCAGCTCTTTTGCAAGGGAGTGGGGATGTATAGTACATTATTAGTTTCATTTTTCAATTATTATTTACCCAGCTAACTTTGCCCAAGTGGACTGTGCATAATTCAACAATTTGTCATTGTTTGTAGTAAATATTTCTATACTATAATATAGAAACAAAATGCCTTGTGTACATTGATGAATAAATAAAAATCGAAACGATTTATCACAGCTACTTTATATTCGACTTAGCAGAGGTTGACTAGAAATTCAACAACATATCTCTCTTTGATTAGGAGGCAAATGCTATGGCTATCAAATAATAAATTTCTAAAAAACACATGGTAATATGTCAGAAAACAGTTATCATTAGGATTGTATTGAGCTTGTGGCAAGTCAAGTAGGCAAAATCAACTTCACGCAGTGGGTCACCAAACAACAGAAGTCTTGAAAGTGGGTCGCCACCTAAAAAAGTTTGAGAAGCAGGGTAATAATAATACTTTGTTTGAAAAACTACGCCTTTCCATCGGCGGCACACGTCACACGTAGCAATTGAAGGTGCATTCATAAAGAAAACATTTAAAACAGCAGTGTAGACAGAAACACAGCAATGTACAATACAGTACATAAAACAATAGAATAAAAAAATAATAATCTGTCAAGTTTCCTTTTACATAGTTACTATAAAAGAGAATGGCAAAACTTATACCTACTTCTGTCGAAAATCTTCTACTAACAAATGAATGAATACTTTCATCTTGTTTACAATTTTTTTCCTTGAATATTTCCTTGATTAAACTGGTAATGAGCCGTTGAGAGAAGAGAGTCTGTTTCTTGAAGAGTGCCCCCAGACTGCTAGGTAGGGTGTGCAACTGACCATTGGCATATATAAATCGATTCTTTACACCAGGATGTGACTGCAATACTGGAACAACAATGTCAGATAAACCAAGATTGTTGACCTGAAATTTAAAGAAAAAAAAAATTAAGGCTGAGTTTCCGCAGCACTTATTACCCAATAATTATCGGAAAGAGCAAATTTTTTATTTTTTGATGTACAAACAGGGCCCAATCAGACAATTTATCGGAAAAAGCTCCGAATGTAAAAATAAATAACCATTGACTGAGGTCAAATTACGGTACAGTACATGCAAAGAATTATTTTTGTACCTTGGGAACAATTCTTTGTGGGAACATTTCTAAAGCAACTAGTAGTTAATAGGTCCAGTATCAAACACTAAATAAATATTGAGGTATTAATTTTTGAGGGCTTATTAAATATGTTTTAAAAAGCCTTTAACGGCTACGTTCGACATTGACGGTGCAGCCCAGCTACTCTGGGCCTAGGTCTGTCAATATCATTTATTAATTGTACCAAACAAAGCTAGCATTCTTTGTCATCTTTTTCAATCTCTCTGTAGCTACACTGAAGCACCATTGTAATATACATTTCCCAGAGTACAAGTGGTACCAAACGATTTCTTGGCATATCCATCTCGCTGAAAAAAATTTGGTCGCCTGCTAAGTCAACAAACTGTTTTGATGTTGAATGCACTGCAATAATTTTTCATGATGGGATAAAATATTTGAGAAATTATTGGAGAAATTATCAGTGCTCCGGAAAAACAGCCTAAAATTTAGTGTTAATTTATTCTTAACTACCTGCTCTTTTGATTAACTATCTCATTACTTTCATAGTCATGGAGAGGGAAGAGTACAAGAACTACCCTGGCAAAAATTTGGACAGAGAGAAATCATTCACTAGGTACAAGATGTGTTTCTATTTTTTATGTAAAATGTATGTACAATTACTATATTGTATTTTGGATGTAAAATTTTTTGGATGTTAGCTTTTTGCTGCACTATTTTGTTTCCTTTGTGATGTTTTTCGACGTTCCTCTTTGAATGTTATATTGTTTCTTGTAACCTGTACTGAAATTTAGCTTTTATACTAAAAAAGGTATTTTAGTAAGCTCAACGTAACAGAAATGATAATTGCAATATAATTTATAAATGATAATTATAATAATAATAATAATAAGAGCAATATATAGTTCTACACGCAAGCTTTTTAAAATGTGTTTAACAATGCTTTTTATGAATTGTAATTTTTTTTTAAATTTATTTTGATTGTTTTGATTGTATTATATACCTTGCTGTGAATTTTTTGTGTTTGAAATAAAAAATGATTGATTGATTGAATGTTTTTGATGAATAAATATCAGGCCTGAAATATATATTGCATTGGACAGGGGATAGGGTGTTTCTTAATACCTAAAAAGTTGGGGG